CATCCCCAGGGAAACGAGTTGTAGGAAAACTGGTTCATTATAATGTTTTGGGACTTGTTAAAAGTGATAATTCCCTTTCCTACTTTGTAGCTTTGATAAGTATTTTTGTGATGAAATGAGCATTATTCAAAGTCAAAGTCAAAGCCCTTTCCAGGACGTTAATAAACGTCCCAGTGGCCAAATTCCCGTATTTTGACACAGTCAAAATCTCGTTGAGGTTTAGAAGTCGTCCTATTGAAGAACAGTTCTAAATACGTATTCACAAGGGTCATTTCGATAGAACGATTACTTGATAGGATCGCAACTCAGCGATTTGTTGTCGTTGAAGTTTTGTTACGTGAATAATGCTACAGATTGCTTGCCCTACCATCATTTTGGATGCATCAGATTCTGCCACACAGAAGAAGAAACGGCCATGCATGTTCTTTGCTCATGCGGCCCGCTTATGAGCAAAAGAAGTATCCATCTCGGGCGACACATCATGCACCCGGATGAGATAGCAGATATCACTCTCCAAAGAATCTGGAAATTTATAGACTCAACGGGACTAAGCAGAGTACTCTAAAGACAAGGGCTGCCACAATAGATCAAACCTGGTCGAGATGGCGCAAATGAAGGCCCAAAACCAATAATAATAATAATCATTTTGGAATAACATATGGGCTGGTGCTGAGAAGAATTAAAATGTACTTTGTAGAGTGGAGTATCATTCATTTCAACAATACCAGCTACTGCTGGTCAAAGGCCTGCCACGGATTTCCATAACGACTGGTCTGCGCTGCCCGTATCCAGGTTCAAAATCAAAATCAAATCAAAATCAAAATTATCTTCATTTGTTTAGACTAATTAAACTAGTACTTACAAATCGTCAAATGCTTTTAAGGAGCCTATACATGTCTCATTCTTTTTTTGCCCTATCAGCGCTTCGAGACAAACATTTGGTAAGTGTTGAGAAGAAGCGCCGCAACAAACTCAGTCACCACTGCACTGTTTGTTTTTATTTGTATAGAGAACAATAGTGTCTAGACAAACCTAAAGAGGATTTAGGACGCTATTTGGATCAAATATGTAATTGCTCAATAATGAATAATAAATAAATAAAATAAAATAAAATAAAATAAATAAATAAACTGTCGGTTAAAAAATGAAAAAAATATGTATAGAAACATGTTATGTTCTTTCCGCGACCTTCACCAGATAATCAGTCTATCTACTAGTGAGACGCCTGTTTATACCACGTTTTTCTGTTAGAAAAATATTGTTTGATAGACAAAAATGTAGATATGAAACTACCAGCCGACACCAGCATAAAATCAAGGAAAATTTAAAAAACGCCGGCTGAAAATAAGTTTTTACGCTGCTTTTTCGAAACACTGGTCTATATTTTCCTGGAGCAGTAGAAAAAATTATAAGCAGGGACGTATAAAACAGTGTAAAAGTTAAGTTACTGAGAATAAGTAAAAATGACTTACTAGGAATGTTATTCTACGATTTTATTTTATTTATGGTTTCAAGAATTTCTTTATTACCTTATTTTTCTGAGATATGATTTTTTTTTTCTCAGACTGTAGGTAGATAGTGAGATCCATTCTCATTATAATTTAAGTAAATGATGGCACATTATACATAATTCTCACGCCTACAAACGAAGCACAAATAGGTCTGTCTAATTCAAATAAAACCTACGCCTAAAATTAAATAAAATTATGCTGAAATATCTGGTGAATATTACGTGCTCTTTGATTCATGGAAATGATAAGAATAGATATTAATTCAGATGGTTTATGTTTTAAAATATGCGTGTACCACGCTTCCCAACCCGTCTGGCCAGCGTGGGGATTATGGCAAAACCCTCCACTATAGTGGAGGAGGCTCATAGTCCAGCAGTGGACTGTAAGTAAAGGGCTGTTGATGATGATGAAACTAGAGAGGGCCATGCTTATGCAGTGGAGACTAACCCCCTTACTTACTCGCTCGTTGAATAGTGTTTTAAAGTGTCATTTAGTATGGAAACAGTGTTCAATAACTGTGTAACTTTTTATTAGCATGGGGGCAATAAGTAAATGACCAGTTAGGTCTAGGATGCGCGCCGTGATAACCCTTTTACCGCGCCATTTTATCGACTACGCGATAAGCCCATACATTTGTCGTCTACAATCACCGATAACATTTTATCACAGCGCGCAATCAAGCCTAGCTGATGATGATGGATAAATCGTGCAATGTAAAGCCGTAATAAAAAAGCTTTTCTCAGTTGATTACTCAATTTTGTTTTACCACAAAATGGACGCCACTTTTCCGAGTCTGTTACTCAATTTTGATTTAATCACCTTCTTTTTCTATTCACCAATTAAGTTTTCTGTTTCCATCTTAATTAGCTGCATACCAGCGTCAGCCCTTACAAAGTTCTTCATTGTCACATTCATCTCGGGTCTTAAGCAGTGGAATGTCGTCGTCACGTATTCAGCTCGTTACTCATCCCCCCACCTGCTTGGACCTAAGTCATAAGATAGTAGTTAAAATTGAGTTTTCTTGAATCCAAAATAGTGGTAGTTACTCGTGTATACTAAGCCTAGTAGAGTCTATGCTTAATTCTATATATGCTTAAAAATCCATTAAGGTAAATTATGAGACCGTAAGACGTAATGTAGGCAGGCCTCCCACTCGGTGTACCGACGATCTGGTGAAGGTTGCGGGAAGTACCTGGATGCAGGCAGCGCAAGACCGGCCGTTGCTTGTGGGAATCATTGGGGGAGGACTTTGTCCAACAGTAAACGTCCTCGTAAACTTATTCATCATCATCATTATAGCCACAAGACGTCCACTGCTGAACTACTGCCTCCCCCAATGATTTCCATATCGCACGAAATTATCATTGGTTGAAACGAATATTTAAGTTGTCAGATTAAAACTACACTCTGCATCAAATAAATCGCACCTCCCGCAACAAGCACTTTTCAAACGTATGCATCCCCACTTCCCACCAACATTGGTTCCATTTGAAAGCCTAGCCATATTTTTATAAAGAAAGTCGATATTTAAAATGTAACAAAAATCGCTTCCTCTTCTATATTATGCCCATTCTTTGACATAACACAGATTTGTAGTGTGCAGTGTTATGAATTTTGTTATAAAGTGACTTATTTTTAGCTTGCACGATTTATGTCGTAGAAATTCCTCTTAACTCTAGCAACTTTGTCAAAAGTAATAAGATATTCCACTTCAAGTTTCTATTTTAACTGGGGTAATAAATAAAGACCGCATTTTCGTTCGTGGAAAATCCAAAGCGCACTTGATTTTAAAGTACCTATTTGTATAGGTACGGAGTTAAACCTAAAGAGGGTACTTATATACAGGGTGTTAGGTAAATGGGTATATGAGCCGACACTAGCCCATGTTAACATGGGCATATAAATGGTATGGTGAAGTCAGAAAATTGATATCTTCATTTTAATTATTTTCATAAAAATCGGATTTTATAAAATTTATTTTTTGTATGAAAATTAAAAAAAAAATGATGATATCAATTTTCTGACTTCACCATACCATTTATATGCCCATGTTAACATGGGCTAGTGTCGGCTTATTACCCATTTACCTAACACCCTGTAGGTATATTAAGAATAGAGTTCACACAATTCTGTACCCCCAGTGAAAAGGGATCTAACTCGACTTAGATCAAAATTGACTTTATAACATAATGTGAATCTTTGAAAAATTAGCTATTTTTGTATCTAATCGGTATGTTTCTACGACGTATAGAAAAGAAAATAATTTTGTGCCAAATGATACAAGTAAGGCTTTGTGAACCAATTTTGAGTTTTCTTTCGTGTATATTGATACATGTCTACTTTTAACAAAGTGTACCGGAGGCTTCTTTCAATTTTTTATTGTGTCAAGAGGTACGACTCGTGTTACTCCTTTTTACACGATTGAAGTTGTTCAGATTGAATTTGTGATTAACAATATAAGATGACTCATATTAATATACACAAAAAAAACTATGTATTGTTGGTTGGTGAAAAAGAATGTAACTTAATTTATATCACAAAAAGTAAAAGACAAATGATTATTTATTTTGTGTATAATGATTCAATTAGACTAATACCATTAACCACAAAAGTTTCGTACATGTGTAAAATGTTATCAGTTACTTATATTATGTTAGTTAGATCAGTTTACACATTTTTTTTCTCATCACAAAATTGGTGTATATTGATATAAGTAGAAATTTTTGGACGATTTACCCTAAATAACCTGAAATAATGATTCCTCATAGTGTAATTACTAATGTTTGTTTTACAACTTTTTCTAAAATTAAAGAAACAAAAAAATATCAACAGAAATAGCGTAAAATGTATCACTTTACACTTGTTAGTGGGTGGTCAATTCAGTGTGGTGTAAAATGATTTATGTCCCATTACATCACTTTACACGAATGTAAAGTTGCCGTGTATGGCGATATAACTGGGTTTTTATTTAATTACGTAAAAACTACATGCTATATTTCCCAAACTGGCACACTGCCTAATTATATCTAACATTACCTTTCACCTAAAAAATATTTCACCAAGTTATCTCTAATAGCGACGAAGCAGGATTTTTTTTAACTTCAAATGCGATTTCCCAAAAATCACCATTTTCGACTTAACTCCGTTTTCACTGGGGGTACAGAATTTTATTGGTACTTTGGTGACGAATTTGCGACGATATAATGCGAAACTAATAGTTTCTGTTAATAACTTTTTCACGCTTTTACCGATTACCTAGTCTTTTAGAGGGTTAAATTGCACCTTGCAGGACATTTTACTACTTTTTGTCTCGAAAATAACATTGAAAGGGTTGAAAGAGTTGAAAGTTTTAAGTCCTCATATTCGTGGTACGAAATATTATGATGCGTTTGTAGTAATAAAGAACATTTTAACATACAGACCAAGCCGTAAACAGAATTTAGTTACGTTTGTCATGAACTTTGACATTAACATTTGTCTCTTTTGTTCCAGCACACCAATGCGTTCATCGTGTACTGCCCAGGAATGTTCCGCTCCGAGGAAATGACCACCACCACAGCAAGATGGCTCATCGACATTGGAAGATATGGATGAGACTCGCACTCATACCCTTCGCCCTGCTATCCTCATCCATTGCGGACTTCACCACAGAATGCCAAAGACCCTGCGACTGCCGATGGCAATCCGGCAATAAAGCCGCCATCTGCTCCAACTCCAGCCTAAAAGTCATCCCTGCAAACCTCAGCAGCGACATCCAAATACTAGACCTCTCAAATAACCATCTAGAACAATTACACCAAGAAGCCTTCAAAAAAGTCGGCCTCAGCAACCTCAAGAAACTCTTCCTCCGAGAGTGCAGTATCGACACTGTCCACAAGCAAGCATTCACAACTCTAGCCATCATGATCGAGTTGGATCTATCGAAAAATAAGATCCGCTATCTGCACCCGGACACGTTCAAAGGCACCGAGAAACTAAGATTAATAAACTTGAGCAATAACTATATTGACAAGCTGGAAGACGGCATATTCCGCAATTTGAAGTTCCTTCAGAAAGTAGAGGTGAGCAATAACAGGATAGTCAAGATCGGGACGAGGGCGTTCGTCAATTTGCCCCAGTTGAAGATCCTGAGATTCGACGGGAACAATTTGAGTCACATGAAGCCGGAAACTTTGATGGCGCTGAGAAATTTGTCGGGCTTGGATTTACACAACAACCCGTGGCGGTGCGATTGCAACCTGCAAACATTTAGAGACTGGGTGATCAGTCATAACTTGTACACGCCGCCAACTTCGTGCGCCGAGCCTGCGACGGTGAGAGAGAAACTTTGGAACGAATTAGACTCTTCGAACTTCGCTTGTCGGCCTACGATACTCGAGCCCCTCCCGGACTCGACAGTCAAAAGTTACGATGAAAACGTGACTCTGACTTGTAAAGTCGTCGGGAATCCGACGCCCGAAGTCGTGTGGCGGTTCAGTGGGAAAACAATTGAAACGCGCGCGTTCGGTGAGATCAGATACGTTATGACAGAGAATACTGTGGATTTGATTAGATGGGTAAACTTGACTATTCTACACGCTCGATACAGCGATAGAGGAAACTATACATGTGTAGCTGAAAACCCTGGAGGTAGAGATGAGAAGACGCTCACCCTTGTTCTTTCTAAGTACTCAGGCGCTGGAACTATAGCGGGGATGGACGCCGACTCGTTTGCTATACTAGTCGGCTGCTTGATAGCGATAGTGATAATTTTCGGGGCGACCCTATTCGTTTGCTATTATACTACGCAGAATAATGAAATTAAAAGACTGATTAAGACCGACACGCGGTCGTCTAATGGAGACGTGTTGATAGAGGGGTCTGTGGCTTCTGAGATAGACAAGGGGTTCAAGACCGAGGTGAACCCTATCACGAAGCCTCCTAGGAAGTTTGAGCCTCCGCCGTCCTTAACGTGCAAAGCAACAGAGATGTCAGAGCTCAACAAAACGTTGCTGGACAACGACTCCATTTTAGGTAAGTTTACAAACATTATCTTACTTGCAAATAAGTTTAATCACTTCTTTCAATAGATAGATAGATAGGTAGGATATTTACACCTGGTAACTGTCTGCAAATAAGCAATGTGCATAATAGGCTAGTTGCCTAAAAAATTTGTTTAGTCCGTAATGTTTAATATCAAAAAATATTGGACACATATATTTTTATTTGTCAATCTAACAAATAATTACATAGTTATGGTGCGTTGAAGTTGCGCACGACGTCACAACGTGCGGCATTTTTAAGCAAGCGTTGACGTCACGGGCCTTTTCTTATGAACTTTGGGGCGCTTTATCTCTTTAAATTTTCATTAGTTTGAAAAAGTGAAAAATACGTGTAGTGTATTTTTTGATAAGTTAACTGACGGACTAATTAAAACTCTTGCTTTTTGACCCAGGCAACATCCCCATTTTGCACCCCATTTTAAACGTTACAGAACTAAATGCCGCTTAAAGCTACTGAAAAAATGTGACTCAAGCAATTGTTTTAGTTATATTTCTTTTTCATGGATTATTGGATTATCGCAATAAAAGGTCTAGCTTCCTCAATTTGAATTTGAAAAGGTCTAACTATGTCATGTCCTTTTAGGTAAAATAAATGATATATGACTGTCAAAAGCATTCAAGTTGATATCAAAGCAAATTTAAATGTAGGTATTTCGTTCCCATTATATTCTCACATAAATCCAAATCAAAATTAATAACAACACAGCTGAAACATCTGCCAAACGCAAAGACCAAATAAAGCTTTGTATGAACATATTACCTCGGCAAACGTCAGAAACGAGGCTTGTTATGATATGCAAACAGATTTAGAATTTCGGCAAGCCAAAGGAAATTAATACTGGAACTAGTGTTGCGGAATAACGATGCTCTAATTGGTCGATAGTTGACCGTTTTGTGTAGTGATGTAACAATGGGTTTCCGACTTGATGAGGATTCCGATTTCGTAAAGGTGATTTTGGAACTCCGAATTGAAAATCGATCAATGTTCTCTCCTATCAAACACATAGTTTAGGTAGGTAAAGACACACAAATTTGTGGAAGTAACATGCCAATAACTGCTACACGCGTACACGTGCCAACCAATTTTGGTTTACTCAAGAATCGAAAAAAACCATTAACTTTCCTTTGTTTAAAATAGTTTTAAGGACTATATTATTCATGTTAATAATCAATCAATCCAACTATTTATATTACTTACCTGTCAAAACATTATTGTCTATTTTTTTACTAACACTGCAAAACAAGCCATCCCTTTGCTTTACAAAAACCATCGATATTATTATGCACAATCGAGCTACATCACTACCAAAGCGAGCAAGTCAGGACTAATTCAAATGTTGATCTCCTAAATCAGTTGCAGAGCATTAGGTCTCAGATCTGAAACTTTGCCAAGAGCTAGCAGCCAGGCGCTCATTGTTTATCAATGCTTATATTTCTCAAGCTTCCAGAATCCCTGGGGCAGTAATATTTCGCGCCGAATTTATGATATTGCCCAAAGAGGTAGACGAAAATTGGTTTGTACGAAGCTAATATTGACACAAGACGGGTTTAGGACACTAAGATTGTTCCGGCGCATTTATTTTCAGTATTCTACGGTTGGACAAATAAATGAAGGGTTATAATATCTCGGTTATATTCAAACAGTTAGGTATGTTATCAACTGTTTTGTGATTTGTATTTTAACTTACAAGATTAAAGGCTTCAATGCCACAACAAAATTCGGATAAATCTTTTTTAAATTATTATAAAGTTTCGTACCCAATGCTAGATCGGTGTTATACAATTTGTTGACTTATTTCTTTAAATGCAAAGAAACTAGACTGTTGACACCGGCAGGCAATACAAAGTTTTCTCAATATCCTAGCAATAAGCAGTGGCAAGTTTTAAAAGAATTTATTGCTTAAAGTTCAATATAAACTTCAAAGCAATCAGTAAACGAAAAGGCAAAGAAGCAAAATAACAAAATACTTTTATAACTCGCGCTACTTACTAGTAGGATACCTATAAAAGTAAAATGTTACTTTTATACGTCACATCACACTTCTTATGAAAAAATCTTATTGGTACATTGTTGTGTCTCTGTCTTCAACAAATCGTTACTAAAATAACTTGCCTAGTTTGATTCATTAATGGAAACCATATTAACCATACTAAGGCTGGGTTGCACCGTCTTAATTTGACTTTAACAAACGTCAAAATCCATACAAAAACACTGGTTATCGTTATAGTTACCGTCAAAGTTAGGTAGCTTAAGATTGATCAATATCATCTCAACTATACTAGAAATTACTAATTGTAATTAATTTAGCTACGTAATTTAAGCTTAGTGTACAAGTCAAAGATTTAATTTTAAATTCTTCTATTAAATGAAAACTTCGCTATAGCGAGACACGATTGTGTTCTTCTTCGAATGTCACCTCGAATACCACATAATTTACAACGGGAAACTATATTTTGTAAAACATTCCCGGTTGCGTGCCGGAGCATAAAACTAAACGAAGAACTCCTTTGTGCCGACTTGATTGTAGCTACAAATAACATTTCCCTGCCAAAACTTTATTTGAATGTCAAAGAGACAAATTTGAATTTTGCGGCAGCAAAATTATTTTCATTGTAGACGTAGTTTGTTGGTTAATTAAATGCAAATGATGCTACAATTGAGATGCCTAACTAGAGAGCTATAAATTAGTTTAATGACGAATGAATTAGCCAAACAATTGAAATAACAAATCTTCTTTGTCCACAGCCTCTAATGAAGATACAAGCAGGCACGCTGATATAGAAATGCCGAAGATCTCGCAAGAAACTCTTCTCATGGATCACCTCACTCAAGAACACCAAGCGTATCCTCCAGACCTCCTATCGTTTCCATTACGAGGATCCACGCAAATATCTCCAGCAGGGGGCAGCACTTCAGGCCAGGAGAGAATAGCTCACAGAAACCTTGACAGCCCGTTGAAATCGCCAGGGTATGGCGTCACAGCTATTCCTTCTATGTATTCTAGATTCCAGTCTCCAAATTTCCAAGGATCGACGCCGTTGATCGGCTCGAAAGCTGGCTACGTGACTCTTCCTAGAAGACCAAAGGAGAACATTCCAGAAAGCAGTTTGCGACCTCAAGTCTTCTCCACTTTGAATGGCGTGGTTCCTTATTATGACCACTTAAACTCCAGACTATTTTCTTACGGAGGACATTACTACAGTTTGAACAAAAGCGAGATGGATTTAGGTCCGATCAGTAAAATGGGGTCTGGTTTCTTGGATTCGGAAGAAATCGAGCCAGCTCCATCTCCTGCGCCTGGTACTCCTCATGCTACCATTCCAAGGAACAGCCTGAGTTCTCCGAACATCCACAACCAATTGCTGATGCTGCAAGCTATGTCTATGGCCCAGGGTCGAGGGAAGAACTCTGAGACGAGGCCTCTGAAAGTCATGCTCTCTGAAAGTGAAAGTCTCCTGAAGAATCCAAGGGATCTGCGAGTGGGGTACAGTGTGAACGTGGTCAGTGGTACTTTAGGTAGGACAAAAGTTCCCAAACCTCCTCCAAAACCTCGGAAGAGGAACTCTTGTGAAGTGAAAGAACCGTTCCTGTTAAACGCTGGTGAGAATGCCACGCAAGTGTAGATTTAAGCGTATAATAATATAAGGTGTGTTTTTGCTTGACTGTGTTCCAGCTTTAATACCTATTTACATATAAACCAGCACATTAAATACACACGATAATAAACCCGATGTCCTTTGGGATTTAAAGTTAATGGCTTAGCTGGGACACAGTTTTGCTTAAATACGTCTTAAGTTTTTGTATCTTTTTATAAGTTATCTTCAAGTGATATTTACAAGGTAATCATAATTGGCCATTATCAATTTGCTTCATTTATGATGTTTATTTTAATTTAAGATTTAATTCCTAAGAAAAAAGATAAGATAGAGAAGTTACAAAGGCATTTGCAAACTGACTCAATCAAAGGACAATAGTACATAATAATCCTAAATACAATTATGTAGAGTAAGTACTTAGATTCAGTCAGGTTTTAAACTCAATTAAGTAATTTAAACTTAGGAAGTGTCCTAAGTTTTATGTCACCTAATTTGATTATTTGACTCCTATTCTTCCTAAAAAAATAAATTTTGTTGTTTTATATTGCAACATAGGTCTGAAATAGTACTGGTATGTTGTTGCAATTCATGAAGACGAGTGAGCTTTACATGTCTGGTGGCTCGCTACTGTCGTTTTTCAAAAGTTTTGATAGACATTACACTATCGTTATGTGCTTCTACACGTATACACACAAGTAAAGCTCACTCGCCTTCGTGAGTTGCAAGAACTATAATACTTATTAGAAAACCTACTACTACATCTAATTTTTATAACAAACAACTATACATACATAGTTGGGTAAAACTTTCCCCAAGCATCCAGAAATCATATAAAATCACAGTTATTTTAATTTATTTAAACTAAATCAGATGCAAAATTACAAGTAAAAGAAAGACAATTTAGTATTCTTACTTTTATATTTATTAAAATACTGGGGAAATTTTATTAAAATGTGTTAATTTGAGTTTAAAGTTGTGCCTGGGTTAACTCAGTCGGTGCTTTGGTAAATTGGTTTTGTTTGTAATCCTAATTACTACCGCCAATTAAAATTAAAATTTATTGCTTAGATTTTTTTATTATGAGGACTTGTTTTGTATGTTTTATTAATGCATCATATTGTAATGTTATATTTTAATTTTAAAGATTATATAAACGTGTTACTCCTTCATGTAAGTACTACGTATTATTATAATTTTAACTAGTAGTTTTATAAATGGCTAGCGCAAAAGCCGAATGAAATTTAATGTCCTCTCGACCAAATTATACTTATGTCCGTTTTTTCACCATCAATCCCTTCTAATTCCCCTTCTCCCTTCCAATTTTTAAGTGACCCCTATGAAAAAAAATGCTATTAAGTGTTACCATAAGGGTCACTTAAAATTAGGGATTGATGGTGAAAACGGGCATTAGTCGAAGGTACTATGTTCAAATTCTTGATCACAATTGTTACTCCAATTCTAGATTTAACCTGATCGAGGTAACTGCGCACTTCGTTGGAATGCGACTCTCCCTCGCACTTACCCGCTCACCTCCCCGCCTTCGCCCCGTTCGTACTAGGCTTGTTCTTACTCGGACACTGAACGGATCGCTCCGAACTAGTACAATCGGTCAAATGAACTAGTTCGGTCTTCTAGTACTATTAGTTCATTTTAGTACACTGATTCTATTAGGTAGATCGAACGAAAAAAGTCTTTATTTCTATGTGTTTATGGTCCAATATCGAAAAATACTCGCAACACAATTACAGAGCCTTACCCATCTCACTCGCGCTCACATGTCACTAATCTCACGTCTCATTCTAGCACTCCTACTTAGTTCATTTAGTACCGATTTTTTTAATCAGATCGGACGAAAAACGTCTTTATTACTATCACCTTATAGTAGAATGTCGCAAAATACTCGCAATACACTTACAGAGCCGAATCCATCTCGCTCCCGCGCGCTTGTAACCAATTTCACGTCTCGTTCACACCTATTCATTCGTGATCAGCTGTACTAAAGTGAACTAAAAGACCGATTTGAACGACCAATACGGAATAGTTCGTTCTCGTTCACATCTTTATGTGTAAGTACATGTACTACACAAGCCTAGTCCGTACCAGAGCGTCGATGTGACGTCACTGTCGCCAAGTGCGAAGTTAACTCGACTGTGTTATATAATAACCAGAATTTGTTTTGTGACCCTATTTATTAAGAAACTCACTCCAATGATTATTAAGTTTTATGATGTCTACTTATTTGTTAATTATATTTATATGATATTTTTTGTATAACCTACGAGTATGCGCCTAAAATGGAGGAAAAGATTTCAATATCTGTCTTTTTATGTTCGTTGGAAAATGAAAATACTTATTGTAAATTATAATAATAGAACTCAAATATTGGTGCTTATACGAATAATAACTAAATTGCATTGGTTATACTCTTCCAAGCTTTCTTTCATACAATCAATAAATAGGGAAATAGATGTATATAATTAGTTGATTTGTATAAATTATATAGTTAAAAGATTTATTGGATCGACAGTAGAAAAGAAATAGTGGAATTTTACATTTTCATTGAAGACAATGGCTCTATAATATAAATTAAATATTATATAAAATGTATAAATGTAAATATTAGGTAAACAAATTATGTATATGAGAATAATAATTAAATTATATTATTAATAAAATATGGTCAAGTAAAGAGAGAATGCTAGATGGACCAAATCGGGGTGAATGAATTGTGTATATTAAAAGGTGTAATTAATAAATACAATTTGAAATTTTATACGTCGAATTATTAACTTACCCATTTTCTAGCGTTTTAAGCAAAAGGTTTTATCATAAAGAAACAACAGATAAAGGTAAGCAGTCACTATGCGGAGTGCACAGGGCATTCAAATGTACAAACAATGGCACATCAAACTAAAATCCCTATTTTGTAAAAGGCATTATTTTTATTTCAACCATAGGATGTCCACTGCTGAACATAGGCCTCCCCAATGATTTCCATGTTGTTCGATTGGCAGCGGTCTGCGTCTAGACGCATAGGTGCTAGCGCTTTTCTGCCCTATTCATGACCTATGGTTGAAATGATGATGATGATTATTTTTATTGCAATCGAAGACTGCGCACATAATATTGCGAATCGATAGAGGCACATACCTCAAATATTTTGTAAACTGTTGCAGATTTTTTTTGTCTACAACGAGGAAGCTCTTAGCCAGCATCTCATCTGATGGAATATGATGATAAGGCTGATGATGAAAAATCCTCAACCACAGAGGAACTAGCTATCATTAATTTGTGGTATTAGAAAATTAATTAAATTGGTAAAAATAATCAGAAGTAGGTCGTAATAATGAAGGTAATAATGAAGAATCACTTTTGGCATTTTTATTACATTATGTGGAACAAGAAATAATTCATAAAAAGTATGTTATTTTGCCACTTTTTATGCTAACTCACCGCTGACCAATTTGTTAATTACTCGGAATGGTGGCAATATTTATGCTAATAAAGATATTTTTCTCATTACTGATTTTTATACAACGCAACCAAAGCAGTAACATCACTAGAAATTATTATACTTAGTTTTAGCCTTACATTAGAGAATTAAACCAATTACTAATCAATAGTCGAACTCAAAGTTACTAATATTATCCACCTGAAAGTTTAATAAATCCTTAAAATTATGAGAGAAACAGACTGAAAAAAAAATAACAAAATAAATTTCGTTTTTTTTTTATTGATTTTTTACAACTATTTTTCCTCAATTTAATTTTATTTAATACGGTTTAAAAATCTTTAAAACTATAAAAAGAATAAATAAAAAACAAAATAAATAGTTTCCCTCACTTTAAAGTTTTTTTCCTATTATTTTTCCACAATTTTATTTTATTTAAAATGGTATTGATTTTTTGCACAGGCAATACAGTCAGTCAGTGTCGAAACGCGGCCGTACTAAGCTGCTCGTGCGCGTTCAAATTTTATTACAACTTGCGGGTAGTCTTATTTTTGAAGTGTGCATTGGACTATCGCCACATTCTATTCGATAATTTATTTAATCTAATTTGATAATTAATTTAAAAGGTGCATTGGCATAACAGTGATAATATGTAGTTACTAGACACGTACTATCGGGCGTATCTATGAGTGTGTAATATCAAGTTTCTCTTCGAAAGTGATGAACCCGAAGGAAGCTGCTAAAATGTTTGGAACCTGGGACCAGCTGGTGCTACGCAGTCGGCTGCAACACGGCTCCGGTCTACGCAAGGTAAGTGGACTGCATTTTATATGGTACTAGCGGCCGCCCGCGACTTCGTACGCGTGAACCCGTTTTTCCCGCAAATTCCCGTTCCCGTGGGAATTTCGGGAATTCCTTTCTTAGTGCACCTCTACGGTACCTAAGCTACGTCCCTTCCAAATTTCAAGTGCCTACGTTTAGCCGTTTAGGCTGTGCGTTGATCTGTCAGTCAGTCAGTCAGTTTCGCCTTTTATATATTTAGATACGTGATACTCGTAAATATTAATCCCACTTTATCAACCTACGGTTTGATCCAGGTTTAAAAAGTNTAGAATTCTTAAATGCTAAACTAATCGCAATATTTTCTCAATTAACTATTTAGACGACGAAATTGTCTAACTATTTATGCCTATAACATATTTGTAGTATTGCTGGTTAATGATTGTAACGAGTTGAAAAAGTACTGTTTTTGCGCCAAACGGCGTAAACGCTCTTAAAACTGTCAAAACGAGACTCTCCCGTAGATTTTGTATGTCAATATTAGCCAGTAACGTCACTATTTTGTCAATTAAACTCCTCAACTACTTTACTACTCAATTAAACTACTTTTTTCAATTACAATGCAACCAAAAATCTTAATTTACAGGTAATTAAAAATTAATTAATTTTTGAGACCATAGGTAAGTGCCTTTTTTAAAAAAGTTGTGCTTTAGAATGATTGGGCAGTGGTGGCACATACCTAATTCCGATAATTTGAAAAATTGTAGGTGTATGAAGATAAAATTTAAAGTAAAATTTTTGTCCTAGATCATAAACGTGTCATCGTCAGCGTGTGGGAAAGCCTCGCAACTGCTGAACGATGTGTACCAACTAGCCGCGGAGGCGGACGGCGAGACCGGCGCTCAGCTTGATGTCGCCGGCTCCAAGCTGGCCGACGCTGCCAATGCTCTGCTCACCACGGCGCAGGTAAGACACACGCTCGTTTTCACAAACATTACTATGAGGTCTCGCAGTGCGCGTGGACGCACAGGGTGCCACAAGAACCGATCACAGAGCTCTATTCAACGCTGTGCCTTCGATTTGCTGCTTCACTTAAGCAAGCATCGTTTGTAAATACGGGCGACTGTGTACTGAAACTGATGGGTATAACAGAACCCCCTCACCTACCGAATGCGTCCTACATAGTCAGAAAAAACTGTCGCCCATTTGGAGACTCAGCTATACTTTGACGTTACTTCGTCAGCATACGAAAATCAACTTTCGGGTCTTTTCCCACCTCTCGTTCCCACCGCTGCAACTCCTGTGTAGCCAGGATCTACAGCTTGACCGCCAATAAAAACCCAACCAGTGAAGGTCAAGTTTGTCCCGGGGGAAAGTTAACCTTTGTTTGTCACCTGTCATCTGCTTTGCAATGGAGGGAAGTCGAACCTTAACTTCAAACTCCTCCTATGTTCTTCTGATTAATTTCGTTGCGGGTCCAATGACGAAAAGCACCTCCTAAACGACGATATAAACTAGCCGTAATGGTGATTGACTTTTTTCTTCTAATTAGTAAACGCGGCTGATAAGAAAGGTCTAAAATCCTACCCTCCTTCTAGCTCACAGCCCCATGCATGGAAGACCCTCGCTGCCAGGCGTTTCTGGTCGCCTCTGCCAACGCAGTATCCGCCGCCAACCAACACCTGGCTTCCACCTGGCTACCAGTTATCCAGGACCAGAAGTACCAGGCCCTTGGCGAGAAGATACAGAAGGGAAGGAGCGAATTAGAGGACGAGCTGGAGAGATTGAAGAGGGCGTGTCGTGTCGGTGACAGTGGAAATGGTGAGCTGTTATTTGGTGCTTTTATTGCAATGAAAAATAACTAAGCATGCGTACTGGAAAACGCAGCGTAAGACGTCCACCCAGAAGGTGGACCAACGACCTCATAAAGGTAGAAGGAAGGCGCTGGATGCAGGGCGCAACCAACCGGGCGCAATGGAAGTCAACGGTACCGTTACTAACTGGTAACTAACGGTCAATATGGAAGTCATTGTGGGAAGCCTATGTTCAACAGTGGACTGTCCATCATGTGGCTGAAATGATGATGATGAAGCATGCATAATTTTAATTTATTTGATTTTGAACCTCCACCGTTTCTTTGATAGAAGTGCAAGTGAAGAACGTCGGCCGCCCAGCGCCGACGCAAGGCCCGAAGCACTTGAAGTTTGTCAGCGCGGCGGAGAAGGCTGAAAGCGCCCTCCAGAAAGCTGAGATGGAACTGGATAAGGTAACACTACCATTGCAATGTGTTAGATTCGTAAGGAAGGCGAAGGAAGGGCGCGCGTACGAACAACACGGTAGCTAGTTTCACACTGGTTTATTTCAAACGTCAACGGGCACCGTCGCAGCGGTGCGAAGTATACCTACATACATAACATCCCTCCCCCATATACTTAAGACTACAAGAACAAAATAACTATAGTTAATAAAACTGCTTATAATCTACTTTGGCGCGTGGACGTCTAGACCTAGTCGTGGGTGCGCCCGCACAATGTTCATTAGCGTCGCTTGTGTGCGTGTGAACACCTGTGTTAGTAGTTCGGGGGCATTCGGGCGACTTCGCTGCCGCCGAGGAGACTTCGGTCCCACTCGTCCCCTCTCCGATGTTTACGTTATCGTTTGTTGATGTCGTGTCATCAGCTGATTCTGTAGCAATGCCCGCGGAGATACCTGCTGAGGGCTGCGATGATAATGCGCCGTCTATGTCTGGCACTATATCTGGATCCCAATTATGTTCTTTGTTTTCTATAACTGGTACATCTTGTCCGCCTTGAAACCTTAATTGGTCTACGTGTCTGTTTACCTCTAAATTATATTCGGGTAGGTATACCGTATACATAACGGCTCCAATCTTTTTTATAATAACTCCTTCGATCCATATAAATTTTTGGTTAGTGAGATACTTCTTTACCCATACACGATCTTGTGGTGTAAAGTTAGGTCTAACTTTTCCACTGTAATGTTTAGCCTGCGAACACTGATTGCGCGCCACATGGACAATGAGGTCTGTGGATGACGGAGTGACGCGAGTGGGGTTCAACAAGTCCAGTCTAGAACGTAGGGGTCGGCCGAATAACAGTTCAGAGGGTGATTTACCTGTGGTGCTATTTATAGAATTACGGTAATCGAATAAAAATTTTGAAAGCTTATCTTTAGAAATTTTTCCATACGTAGTGCTCATTAAAATTCCCCGCAAACCTTTTTTAATTATTTTAACAAAGCTTTCGGCCTGGCCGTTACTCGATGGATGGTAAACGGGTGAAAAAACTTGCGTTATTCCATTCAATTTACAAAAAGTTGCGAACTCTTGTGATGTAAATGATGTACCGTTATCAGTGACCACAGTATGCGGAACCCCAAATCTAGCCATAACATCAATAAGTTTTTCAATTACAGTTTTAGAACCATACGACGAGCTCACATCATAGCATTCAACCCATTTTGAATAAGCGTCTACAATAACTAAGTACATTTGATTATTAAATGGCCCTAGAAAATCCAAATGAATCCTATAGAAGGGTTGCGGTGGGAAGGACCACGGCGCGAGCGGGGCGTGCGGCGGGGACGGCCGCAGCTGCGCGCACACGCTGCACTCGGCCGCGAGCCGCTCCAAGTACCTATCTATGCCTGGGAACCACATACGTTTACGAGCCTCTGCTTTCATTTTCACTATTCCGAAGTGTGAGCTATGTAAATCATTGCAAACTTGTTCTTGTAAGGACAACGGAATCACAACCTTATGCCCTCGCATTAAACATCCATTTTCTACTGACAAATCTAAACGACACAGAAAATATGCTTTTAATTGTGTATCTTTTATCTTCCGCGGCCAGCCGGTCATAACGTAATGAATAACTTTACTTAAAAGCGGGTCCTTCTCAGTCTCTGAGCGCAGCTGAGGGACCGTGACGGGGAGGCTGCCCTCCACCACAAAGTTAACGTAGGCCGCTCGCTCCTCGTAGTCGAGTTCCCCTGACGCACTGCTATCGTTTTCGCCTAACGGAGCCCGCGATAAATAATCGGCGTTATTGTCAGCGCTACGCACATATTCGATGTTGTAATTGTAAGATGACAAAAACATGGCATACCGCTGTAACCGATTCGCTGATACTTCTGGTATACCACGGCTAGGGTTAAATATTGCCAACAAAGGTTTGTGATCGGTTTTCAAAATAAAAGGGTCGACTCTGCCGTATAAATATTGATGGAAACGTCTCACACCAAAAATAATGGCAGTAGCCTCCTTCTGAATTTGTGAATAGTTTTTTTCCGCTGACGTTAGCGTTCTAGACGCAAATGAAATAGGTCTCTCAACACCGTCATCACAAATCTGAGATAGAACTGCCCCCAAACCCGTGGGGGATGCGTCTACGGTGAGTATTATTTTTGCATCCGGGTCGAAGTGGGTGAGAACCCGGTCGGAGGTTAAAATGGTTTTAATTTTTGTGAAAGCTTGTTGATGTTCAGTTGTCCAGGTCCATTTACTTTTTTTGTGTAATAAGTTATATAATGGACTTAAAATGGAAGAAGCGTCTGGCACAAAATTACGATAATAATTTACGAGACCTAAAAAAGACTGTAATTGCAAGACATTCTTAGGTATTTGAGATTCTACTATAGCTTTGACTTTTTCAGGACATTTTCTTATTCCATTTTTGTCTATTACATGTCCAAGATATTGGATTTCGTCTTTGAAAAAATCGCACTTGTTAGGTTGTAACGTTAAACCTGCCGACTCTAACCTGTCTAAAACTGCAATTAATCTATCTCTATGCTCAGCCTTAGTGCCACTTACTAAAATATCGTCTAAGAAACAGACCGTGCCCTCTATGCCTGACAAGATGCATTCCATGGCCCGTTGGAAGATTGCTGGAGCGCAGGCTAAACCAAACACTAATCTGGTATATTTAAACAAGCCGCGGTGCGTATTAATGCAAGTTAGGTCTTGCGCGTCCTCGGATAAGATCAGCTGATTGTAAGCCATTGAGAGATCCAGCTTAGTAAACTGCTCCCCCCCGTGTAGCTTGGCGAACAACTCCTGCACAGTGGGCAAGGGGTACTTGTCAACAATCAGCTGTTTATTTATCGACACTGAGTAGTCAGCGCAAAGTCTAACTCCACCATCTTTTTTTAATACTGGCACCACAGGCGAGGCGTACTCAGAGTGTTCTACCGGTTTTAACACGCCCAGGTCCAGCAGACGGTCAATCTCCCTGTCTATCTTTTCCTTCAGGGCGAACGCAACCGGGCGCGGTTTAAAGTATATTGGATGTGAACCTGGCTTGAGGTGAAGTTTAATTGCATATTTATTGAAACAACCTAGTCGGCCGGAAAACAACTTGGGAAATCTATTAAACAAATTCTGCGTAAATGAATCGTCAGAGTCCGTAATTAGGTACTGGATTGCCGGCGCGAGCTCGAGTCCGAACGCGTGAATAAAGTCGCGGCCCAGCAGCGGCGGCCCGCCGCCCGCCACCACGAACACGTCCAGCTCGCGTGCGCGGCCCTCGTATGCCACGCTTAGTCGCGCTAGCCCGATGCAAGCTATTTTGCCACCCGTATAATTCACGAGCTGCCTGTTTGTCGCTGATAACGGTACACTACTAAAATACGAGTCGTACGTTTTATTTGAAATTACACTAACGGCTGCACCGCTATCAATCTCGAATTCCAAATCTCGACCGTTAACCGTTACCCGTGCTGTCATCGGCTTACCCCTCGTACAACGAATATTGTATAATGACTCACCATCATCACCGTCATCCACCGACTCTTCATCAACGTAATGAACTTTATTTGACGAACACATACGACGCAAATGGCCTTTTTTACCGCACTTTTTACATTTATAACTTTTAAAACGACACTTGTCAGCTTTATGATTGCTGTAACCGCACACACTGCACTTTTCGCCGTTGGTGATGCTGAATACCGGCGCGCCGCCCGCGCCGACCGCCGGCGCCGCCGCTGCCGCTGACCGGGCGCCGCCCAGCGCTGCTGCCGCCTCGCGCGCGCACCGCACGCTCTCCGCCAGCTCCACCGCCTTGCTGAGAGTTAACTCTTTCAAACTCTGCGCAAATAGCTTGTCCTTCTCGTGGCCTGCTACCATACCCATGACAAATCTGTCCAGTACGGCCTCCTCGAGACTTTTAAAGCTGCAGTGTGCTGCCAATCCCCTGACTCTGGCCGCCCACATTGAGTGACTTTCGCCTGGCCTTTGTACCGCAGAATAGAAGTGAAATCTCTCCGCAAATCCACACTTTTTCGGAGTGAAATGCTCATCCAATATTTTTATGATGTCGTCGAATTCCACTTCATCTAACTCTTTCGGTAATACCAGGTTACTAGCTAATTTGTACGTTGCTTCCGAAAACGCGCTGAGCAAAATTGCTTTCCGCTTGACCTTGCACTTGTCCTTGACATCGTCCACATCATTTGCGATGAACCACTGATTCAACCGGGATTTATAACTATTCCACTCTTGTGTTAAGTGGTCAAACCCCGATAAAAGTCCGAAGGACACGCCTGCAGACATTATATTTCGCGTGGAATCGCCCGTCGCCACGTGTTAGATTCGTAAGGAAGGCGAAGGAAGGGCGCGCGTACGAACAACACGGTAGCTAGTTTCACACTGGTTTATTTCAAACGTCAACGGGCACCGTCGCAGCGGTGCGAAGTATACCTACATACATAACAGCTGCGTCCAGCCAGCACAACGGCGGTATTACAAATCAAAACATCTCGTACCTGCGAGGTTCCATCGGCGAGTCCTACTGTGTGACGTGCGGCGTGAAACTTAACACCATTCTCCAGAAGGATCGCGTACAGTCCAGGGCTAGCCACGGAGTGAGTAGCACCGGTATCCAGCATCGCGACACCCGCGCGGCCGGCCACCGTGATGTTAACCAGTGGGCGCGCGGCGCGCGTGTTGTCAACAATAACATTCTGAAAGTCAACTTTGTTACTTTCCCTACTCACACTCGCACTTTTATTCGCACAAGTGGTACATTTAGAGCGCACTGTACCTTCCTGACCGCATCCATAACAATACAACTTACCTGCCGGTCGGTTATTAGGAACAGGTGGTGAAACATTCGCTTTAGCAGGTGTAGGTTTCGATCTACATTCATCGGTGACGTGCCCAAAACGCTTACAGACATTACAACGTGGACGATTACGTATAGATTTCGCTGTGTTCGTACTAGAAGAGGCCGTGCTATTATGATTGTTGTCAACATAACTAGACTGAGCACGGGATGGGTTAACATGTATCGTGGTATTGGATTCACGCGAAATATCTTCAACACACCTCGCCTGCGCGAGTAAACTATCAAGGTTAACAATATTGTTACGCGGCACTAATTTCTTAATGTCATTATTAAGTAGGCCGTACACGATGTCAACTTGCACTTCGTCATCCAGTTTGTATGGTAATCTCGAGAGATTAGCGCGCACTCGCGATATAAACGAATCGGCGTTTTCTTCGCCTTGTTCCGAGGCGAAAATGTCCCGGAACACGCGGTAGGCGGGACGAGGGGCGCCNCGCGCGTACGAACAACACGGTAGCTAGTTTCACACTGGTTTATTTCAAACGTCAACGGGCACCGTCGCAGCGGTGCGAAGTATACCTACATACATAACACAATGGTAGGACATACTTATTAAACAATTTGCAGAATCTAGGCATAAATGTCTGTTTAAGGATCGATTTTTCAACCGTCGGATAACTTTTAACTGAAGAATAAGTAAGGCACATTGACAGTTTCAATATGGGAAATATGTCAAAATGTCAATTTTATTCTTCAGTTAAAAAATATCTGATGATTGAAAAATCAGCCCTTGGTATTATTTTTTACAAGACTATTCTCATTTCTCGTAAGTAACTTCTATGTAGTCAGGATGTTACTTTGTTTTTCAGTGATTTTAAGGAAAATATTAATCAATTGTCTTTTACAGCCAATCGTGCCAACTAGAGGCGGCCAAATACCAGCTGACCTGCAGAGCAAGTTGGCTCAAAGTCTCGCGCAGCTCAATGCTGCCATCGCTGCACTTTTAGCCGCTACGGCAGGTACGTTCATGAATTTTATTGTTACTATTTTATATTTTACTCCCATGCATTTAGGCTTCAGATAATAGATTTATGAGTAAAATTTAGTTGCACTAATATTTATAGTGTATAAATAAAATATGTGCACAATTGTAAAATAATAGATTCTTCACAGGCATTTGACAAAGTAACTCATTTACAGATCGTGAGAAACCTGACTACGAAACAGCAGAACAGTCTATTCAAGCTATCAACCAGCTGATGCCACAAGTTGTCAAAGGTAATTAAAATACCTTTTTGTGGTGTGCTACAAGGGACTATCCTTGGCCCGCTGTTTAATGTGGTGTGCTACAAGGGATTATTCTTGGCCCGCTATATAATATAAAATTTATGTTTGTTCCTGTTTAGATACCAAAGCACTTAGTGCTGGCAAAGACGACAAGGACCGTCAGGCGATGTTGGACGAATTGAGGAATATGTGCGAGGCGACTCGTGGTATATGTTCTAGCGCGAGAGATGGCAATCACGAGGTAAAACCTGAAAATATATTTAAAACTTTAATGTAATTTAGTAAACAATATAGGTTATCTAGGGTTGTGTGTGTGTATTGTTTTCCTCCTATGTGAAATATTTATACTGCATTGGTTTCATAACTTGTCCCTTGTCTGATACCTACTTTCATTGAGAATACTTTTAATGTATTGCTGTAAAATTTACTTATACTTGAAAATAATATATTCTTGTTGTAGAACATGAATTACAACGCGGTGAGATTCGGTAACAATTCCGGAAAGCTGTTCTATGTGATTAGTCCCCACACCAACCAGGATAAAGAGCACCAGGTGAGAATAATCACAAACTATAAACCAACGCAACTTTAAATTGAATTTATGTGTTTTGGAATGACTTACGTCTTATGTATTTTTCAAGCGAATCAAGAAGGCGTACAAGTTGTTAAAGAATCATCTAAAATAATTGTGCCTAACCTTACCATACTACCTTTTGTAACATTATGGACGCAATAAATTATTGAGTGTTGAGTAAAAAATACCTGCCAGGTGCGAGTCGGACTCGCACATGAAGGGTTCCATACGACAATTTGTTGTTGTCACAAACCAATATAAAGCGTGGAGAGTGTAGGCCAAATTCTCCATTTGCCTTTTGTAAAATATGGAGACCGTGTTCCTGCTTTGGAAACTAAGAACCTGAAGATGATCTAAATAAAAAAAAATAGTTTATTCAGTACATAGGCCCTTTCCAGGGCACTTATACACGTCCCAAATATAGCTTGCCATACCACCACTTCGGGACAACAATGGGCTGGTGCTTAGATGAAGTGGCGGAAGAAACTCAGTCACCTTTGTCAGCCTCTTTTTCAATCCAATACAGTAATTTATAGCTTACATGACACGGTAAAAACTGCGAGCTAGGCAGGTAAAGTCCACGCACTCTTGTCATTTAAATAATCGTTTACTTTCTAGTATCATTTTTTCATAAGGATTTTTTTTACCTCTACTTTGAATTTATGAATTTATTTCTATAAGAGATTGTGGTATCTTTCTAGATAATCGACCTGTCATCTCAAGCTTGCGAGAAGGCCACCATGCTTCTGACCGAAGTGTACCAGTTAGCAGCTGAAGTGGGCGGAGACACGGGCGCGGAGCTAGACAGCTGCGGATCTAACACCGCTGACGCTGCCAAGACGCTGCTCGCTACTGCTCAGGTAAGGTTTAGTGAAGGATATAGTGTATATTATATTCTACAGGAGTTGCAGTGGTTGGCACGAGAGGGATTATTCCGTTTTGCTCAAGTAATTGCTTGGCCTACTGTACTTACTGGACCGGCAGTTAAAAGTCGCGGGCTCCGCATAATTTAAAGTAAAGAAATAAATAATAGAAAACTGTGATGTGTGTATGAGCATGCCTGAAAGAATGGACCATTAACTATAATGCCATGGTTTTTAATGACACAAATACAAATATAGGCACATTAAACACAGATGCACATGAAGGAATAAAGAATCCGAAAATACATAGTGAAGTGAGTGAAAGAAATAACACTATCGTAAATTGCTTTAGCAATTAAATACTAAAGCCTGTTCCATGAGCACGTAGAATTTTGTCCAATGACCCCAAGCTACCCATCCTTATCGCTCGCGCGTAATTATATTGCTGTCGCGACTGTGCGACGCGCGCCCGCAGTGAGTGTGCGAGCGCGACAGCAACATAATTACGCGCGAGCGATAAGGATGGGTAGCTTGGGGTCATTGGACAAAATTCTACGTGCTCAAGGACCAGGCTTTAGTAGGTGTAAAGGTTCGACCAAACTAACGGCTGGTTCACACATGTCTCCGTTTTACTGTTCCGTTTTATCGTGTACGTTTTTTTTTTCGTCGATGTATGTATTATTGTATACAGAATACAGTGTCATGTGTGAAGTCGCTCATACAACTACATACACCATCGACGAAAAAAAAGTGTACACGATAAAACGGAACCGTAAAACGGAGACATGTGTGAACCGGCCGTAGTCCGCGTGTGCGATGGCGATACTACTGATTTCTACCATCGCGCACGCAAGTTGGTCGCCTTAATAAAACGTGCAAGGAAGGAAAACCTATTTTTTTTAAAGACACAACAAGGCAGGTATTTTTCAGCAATCACACGTGATTTGAAGAGTAATTATTTATTTATTTAGGACAACCAACAAGACAGACACAAGTACAAGCAGAGGGGTTTACATACATATTTTTCTTAGGACTAGGTGCTATCTTAATTACAGGCTGCCACGGCATGCAAAAGTGGACTTTTGACATAGTTTTATACTATAACTTCATGTATTACTCTAGCTAACCGCGCCAAGCATCCACGAGCCGCGCTGCCAAGCCGCCATGCTGTCCGCAGCAGACGCGCTAGCATCGTCCGCCCAGCACTTGGCCCACGCGTGGGCGGCGCCCGCCCAGCTGCCCGCCCATAAAGAGAGAGCCGCCCAGCTGGAGATCGAGAGGAGGGAATTGGAAGACGCTGTGGAGAAGATTAGGACGGCTGTGCGGGATGATGCTGCTGGTAAGTTTTTAGTATATTTTGTTATGGTTAAATTCTTTCTTTCATTAAAAAATTAAACATTTTATTATACTTTATTAATGCTACGGACTATAGTCTGGTCTGTGAGCACGTAGAATTTTGTCCAATGACCCCAAGCTATCCATTCTTATCGCTCGCGCGTAATTCTTATCGCTCGCGCGTCTCGAAGGTGACAAAACTAAAAATCAAAACAATCACACACCCCACATAGAGTTTATTTATTGTCAAGTAGATACGTGAACATTTTTGTGATCCACCACAATCCTTACAAGAAAAAATTTATGTCCTTCACAGAAAGTGATTTTTAGAAAATGACGTGAAGTGAGAAAAAATATTATAATCATATTAAATCCAGGTTGTCGTAGAAAAAAGGACTATTCTATATTTCTGAGAGGGCTGAGTGCGAGTTTACATCACTATTGAGCGTAGCTAAACTAAATTACATTAAAATGTATGATTGGATTGTACAGCGCCCCTAGCGGAAACTTTCAAGAATTACATAAACTCATTCTCTCAGTTTGATATAAACTCACGCTCAACCCTCAGTATTAACCGCTAGAATTGTCTTCTTAATTTTGCATTGTTACAACTTACAACTTTTGCTTGATGTCCAATGTGCCAATCTAACGTGTTTGTCATCAATAGTATTAAAACAATTCCCCTCACAGCAGTGAAGTCCCCTACTCGGCGGGCACCCCCACCACCTCCCAAGCGCGCGTCCCACGGTGAGCCCCGGCGCTCCGTGGCCGCCGGAACCCGGGACTTCAACCAGGAGTTCTTGCACCAGCTGCGCTGCGAGGAGAGCCAGAGTGAGTAGCACCAGGCCTGTTCATCTCCGCGAGTTTACATCGAAAACAAAACAAGCACGATGGCACCCTAGAATCAGAATCAGAATCATCATTTATTTGCTTTAAATGTGGTACCTACAGGATAACTATTCGACAAGGCCTCACATACGAGCGAGCGTTGACTCACGCTAAATAAGTAGTTAATATTATTCATGATCTAGTACTTCTATTTTATTTTTAATACCTTGTTTGTACCACATGAAGCAATAAAGATATTATGATTATGATAATTCATGCTAAATCATGTATTTCCTCCGCCATTTTCTGCAGTTTGGCACCTCACGTCACATCATTTTACCGAAGTCAGCCCTATAGCTTCGGCGCAGTGCCGATCACTGACGTTTGTCAACAAAATGGTGCTTGACTCTTGAGACAAGCTAAATTACACCATATTGTTAGTGACATTGAGCAATGAGCATACATTTTTTAAAATACCTTCGCCAAGTAAAACTACTTATTATTATTCTGTGGTACAACAAAAGAACGAAAGCTTTTTGCCTGCAACTTGGTCGTTCGTTTGTTTTGGCCAAATGACGTCCACTTTTCGACAAAGGTCTTCCCCAAGGATTTCCCACATCCCGCGACTTTTACCAGATCGTAGGTCCATCTCATTAGGTCCTAGTGGGAGGTCTGCCTACACTACCGTCTTTTGTCCCGTACTTAGTCACTATACGAGAAACTTCTGCCCCATCTGTCTGCATCTCACTCACCTAATAGAAAATGACAATCAGGTAAAGGTTAAGTATCGCGCCGACAAGTTTTTTAAACGTTAATCTATAGGTATACAAGTCATAAAATTCTGTAGATACGAGTATAAGTTGCAGTAAGTTGGAGATGTAACAGATATTCCAGTGCAATACATAGCAGATGGAACTGATGACTAATTTAAAATTCATGTATTTGCTCATTTTCATTAATTATTGCTCTGGCTCTGACACATTCAATTTGCGAAAGCTTTCTTTAACGCATGCTATTGGGTCTCCCCGAATATCCGACCCCCCGCATCGACTGAGATATCGACCAAATCAATTAAAACGAGCTATCAATCTGCTAAACTTAACTCTACAAAAACCTAGGTCCCATAGAAACTTATCATCAAATACCCAGAATCCCCTGTTTATTTAATTACCTAAACTACATAATACAATTCAAAACAATACAATCCATTTGGTTACAGACGCCGGTAACGTTACCGACGACGTGGCCATCGCCAACAAGCGCAAGACGGACGACGAGAAGGCTTTGCTCCAGCAGTTTGGCAAGAGCGTGGATGCTGCAGCCCTGAAGATCAAGAAGGCCGAGGAAGACGTTAATAAGGTAAGATTAATTCTTGTTAATTAGGGCTCATAATAACAGGCAAACGGTTGAGCGAGCGGGCATAACAAGGCAGGTATTTGACCGCAATCGCACCTGGTGTTAAATAAGATGCAGGATGGTACATGCTACATATCTTCCCTGTAGTGCTTATTCAGTCTCGCCTTAAAAGTCCCGGATTATAGTGTTCAGGAAAGAGCACAGGCATTGAATTCCAGTCCCTAGCTGTTTGTTCGGAATGTCGACAATGTAGGGATGGTACGCTAACCGGTGATGGAAGGGGCGTGATCTATGATCGCGCGCAAGCGATAAGTTACAATTTTAGAAAAAGAGAAACATCATTTTTATATTAACAATATTATAACTGAAGACCTCAAGAAGGTAGCTGACAGCAGCTGGATGAAAAACGAAAGAGATTATAGTTTTCCTTGAGAGGCTTACAGCCGTGGAATGCTATTGGCTGTAATGATTATGATGACAATTTCATAAGAAGTCACACTGTTGTCCATAAAATATGTGGGATTTCGTATTTATGCAATTGTTAAGTTATTTATTTATTTAAAACTAGCGATTCGCGTGGGTGCTATGTATCATACGTTATTCTTCCTCCTGAATCAGAATCTATTTCTGAAAATTGCATTAAAATCCGTTGCGTAGTTTAAAAGTTCGAAGAGCGACGTTATTTTATGGTTACTATGTCGGTTTCATCAGATATACAGCGCCAAGGACGACGTGGTGCCCGCGCTGTCTGTGGACCAGACGCTGGTGGTGCAGAAGCAGATGGAGCAGAAGCTGTCTCAAGCCGCTGTCGCAGCTGCCAACCTCGTAGCCAGCAACCGTAAGTAAAACTATAAGCTTGAGTTGCACCACCTAACTTTTACCATAACTCTATCGATAACCGGTGCTTTTTGTATGAAGTTTGACAGATTTTTTACTTTTCTCAAAGTTAAATAACTTTTTTAATAAAATATAACCGACTTCAAATGCGTGAAAACAAAAATAAAAAATAAAAAATGATGATAANCGCGCGTACGAACAACACGGTAGCTAGTTTCACACTGGTTTATTTCAAACGTCAACGGGCACCGTCGCAGCGGTGCGAAGTATACCTACATACATAACAGTAGATTTACTATTTCTAAGATCTTCTGGGATGGGCAGATTGGGCACTACACCATTCTGCACCCTACCCTCTCCCTACATATTCATGAACCTAGTGGGTAAAACACAAGTGATTAGTTCCAAATGGAGGTCATAGATGGCGTTGTCCCGAACTTTACTCGCGGTATCGCCAGATTTATACTGTTTTCGTTCGTTCGTTTCAGCCGAAAGACGTCCACTGCTGGACAAAGGCTAAGTTAATACACAACTTTTACAGAATCCATTTTTTTAGGTAGGCATATTAAACATTAAAATACTTAGTATAGAATTTACCTTTTCCCATTTCTTTTCTGCAAATGAGAAGCACCACAAGTCCTTGTAATGGTGGAACTGTGTCTCAGTGGGGCTGGTGAACTCTCCTCCAAAAACCCACAGCTCACCCCTGGCAAATTAAGAAAAAACTAGGTGATGAGGGGTATCATTCTTATACTTAACAGTCGGCACCACATGCGATTGACCTGACTACTCTAGGGCAAATACAAAACACCTCCTACCGCTTCAGCACTCACCAGTTGGCGCCACTACCTTCGCCACTAGCAAGTGACAGTGACCTTACTCCACAGTAGTGATTGACATGACCCTACTCTAGTGTCGCCAACTGTTAAGAGCTAAAACGATAACGACATTGTTGCATATTATCCCAAATCTTAAATCTTTTTTTTTACTCAAATAATTTATGCAAAACCTTACAAAGTAATAACAAAATATTAGCATGTAATGTAGAAGCATTTAAACAACTTACTTATTAGCAGGTGTGGCGACAGCTTGGTGCGCGCTGCGCGGCGGCGGCGCGCCGGGTGCCTTTATTTGCCGCCACGAGTTCTTGTCCGGGTTGAACAACAGCAGTTCATTGTATACTTGAGTCTAAAAGAAAAGTGCAATAATTATAAAAACGTGACTTTTTTTATTTATAGCAAAATAAGTTGTCTTTTATAACATAAGTGAATTGATTATGGAAATGAACAACATTTTGAAAATGTATGTAGAATTTGCTTTTGCTTCATTTACAGACCAATCTTTCCAATAAGTATGTAAGTAGCAACTAGTTCTTTCTATACACATACAGGTGTAAATTAAAAGTAATTCAAAACCTTTAGTACCATAAAAACTAAAACATTGTTTTTCTTCTTTTCATGCAAGTAAAACAAAAAATGAAACATTTCATTTCCAATCAGCAAAAATGGTTTTATCACAATTTTAAAGTTTTATGACATAAAACATATTATTAAACTCTCTTTTTACTTACAGTCTGACCGTTATGGTACTCTCCGCCGAACAGAATCAGCTCGTTAGTGGTGGGATGCGGGGTCAGTGAGGCATAGGCCCTGGGCGACGGCGGACTGGGAAGGGTCTTCTCTGACGCCTGACCACGCTTCGCTTCTTCCCGCTCTATCTCAGCTATTACTTTTGCTATATCTTCCTAATGTGAACAAACATTAAAAATACAATGAATGAATGAATTTTGCTGGCAGAAAAATAAAATATTTTTTTACAGAATTTAGATAAATGAATTTATTTTTACATTTTTTACGGATCATTTTAAAAACATTAGATTTATTAAAGTTTAGCGCGGTTAATGAGACAGGTGGTAGGTAATATGTAGAAAAATAATTAATTTACAGTACCGAAATGGGCCTAATACAATATACAACGTGTAAAGTTAGGCATTGTACCAATTTTTATTATAGAAAACATTGAACATGCAAATAAATTTAATTTATTTAATTAATGAAGGTAACAACCAAAGCATGGACTAACCTCTCCCAGGTTCGCTAATTCTTTTTTCAGTTTATTCGCCAATTTCTTTTCAGTTTTAGCAGCAGTTTTAACAGCGCCGCTAACCTTGTTCTTGTTCTTTTTCTTGCCCATTTTTTAAAATTAGGCCTAAGATTTTTATTTCAAAAGTTTATTTTCAAAACAGCACACAACACCAATAAATCATTAACGTGGGTGTTCAAATACCAACTTAATAAAAGAATTCTAGGTTCAAAAATTCCTAATAATATTTAATTTAATGTAACGTGGTCCACGTGTTTTGTTGTAATTGTTGTTAATTTGATGTTTATTATAAAATATCATACAAAATAATGCAAACAATATATTTTTAAAAACAATTAATCTAAAAAAATTAGTTAGTATAATTAAGTTTTCGAACGACTCTAACTTTTGTTGACAGCATCAGCGTTTCGTTTTTCGTTCTAGTCAGCAATATATTTATTTTTAATGGTAATAATATAAATAATAAAAGTAAAATACAGTTTTAAACAATATTATTTGGTATTTTATGTAAAATAATATTTTTTACATTTTGAATTTGTGCTTTCGCTTTAAAATTCTGTCAATCTGTGTTGAAAATTGAAATCAAAATGACATTTGGCTTAGTGATGGGCCAACTCGGGAAAAACAAAACTCGATTTAACCCGAGTTAAAATCCACGTAACTCGGGTTGAACTCGAGTTACGTAACTCGAGTTAACTGGATGGACAAGTCAGTTTTTTACTTATTTTAACCAGTTTATTCCCTCAGATTCGTATTAACATTTAAAAAAATATCATTTATAATGTATTGGGAGAATCATACTAACTAAAGTAAGAAAGAAAAAAATATTGTTTGAAATATAATAATTTATTCATGGATTTTTGGCTTGAATTTTAATTTTTAAAAATATTTATGTTTATTATCACTTGGCATTTTTCAAAAACAGAACATAAGACACGAAAATCTACAACAATAACCGGAAGTTTAAAGTTAACTTCAAATGAACATAGTCTCAACACTCAAATGATCGGCAATCTTCGGTCCATGTCGGATCCATTCGGTTTACGATACGAACTCGAGTCAGAGAGAATTCAACTCGAGTGGGTTCGAGTTACGCCCAACTCGAGTTAACTCGAGTTACTTACTCGAGTTGACCATCACTAATTTGGCTATCAGCTGTTGCTGCGTGCTGGTGCCTGTGTAGCTTCATCAATGTAACATTTTCTTGAATCTTCATCATATCATAATTAGTTGAATTTGAATTGTACAGAAAAGCTCCTATCTATTTTACAAAATGGATGTGTAACTTGTGCGTTTCGAATTAAACGAAGGTAGTTTTCTCAAGAAATCGTAATGATGTCAGCAGCTGGAAGTTCCGTGAGTTTTTTTATATTTCTATGAAAAATTAATGAATTGTTTGTTTTATTTAATGAAATTTACTGAACAATGATTGTCTCAGGGGGCCCCGGCAGCTCAAGAGTTCAAAATAAGAGTGCCTAAGAATGTAAATAAGAAGTATCATGTGATGCGATTCAACGCGACGTTGAACGTGGATTTTGCAAAATGGACTCACGTAAAGATGGAAAGAGAAAACAACATCAAGGAATTCAAAGGAATCGAAGAGGAAATGCCCAAGTGAGTGAATATTTACAGTGAACAATGGTAATGAAACTATTAAGTCTATCCAATGAGATAAATCCAGCAGTAAGTTTAACTTAGTGAATTATCTACAATATTATTGATGAGTCATAAAATAATGTTTAAGTTAATATTATGCAACATTTAGTACTAATATTGTTAAGACTTAGAGACTAAACTTTATAAGATAAAGTATACATATATTTGAGTAATCAACATCTTGCTATGTGTTCACCAAGGTTTGGAGCTGGCTCAGAGTACGGCCGAGACATTCGCGAGGAGGCTCGTCGCAAGAAGTTTGGTATCATCTCGCGCAAATACAAGCCGGAGGATCAACCGTGGATACTGAAAGTGGGAGGCAAGACTGGCAAGAAGTGAGTCAGCTTTATTTGTTGATATGCCAAAATATGTTGAGTTTGCAATATTTTGCAGTAGGTCACGTTTTTACTTCATTATTGACCTGAATTTCCTATATAAAGATAGATGATGAGATGATTTTTAATATTTTGATGACTAGGAAATTTAATTTCTCTTGTTCGGCAAATCTGATTGCTTATATCAATAAACTACAAGCAGGCCTGTTCATCTCTGCGAGTTTACATCGAAAACAAAACACGCACGATGGCCCACCTATTACTATTCAACAAGGATACTATTCGACAAGGCCTCACATACGAGCGAACATTGACTCACGCATGCGTATTCTTGTGTATGATGGAAGAAAATGGTGTACTAAATACTGTGCAGTATTTAACTGCCTAAATAATAATAAAAACACAGAATTTACTTTTTTAAGTTGCCTCAAGACACTGAGAGGTAAATAAGTAGTAGTTAATATTATTCATGATAATTCATGCTAAATCATGTATTTCCTCCGCCATTTCCGCAGTTTGGCACCTCACGTCACATCATTTTACCGAAGTCAGCCCTATAGCTTCGGCGCAGTGCCGATCACAGACGTTTGTCAACAAAATGGTGCTTGACTCTTGAGACAGGCTAAATTACACCATATTGTAAATGACATTGAGCATACATTTTTTTAAATACCTTCGAGAAGTAAAACTTCTGTATGTAGTACTTATTATTATTCTGTGCTATAGCCTGACCAGGAACATAAAAACCCTGGCATAGAGGCGCGTCAATTGCATTTGATAGTGCAACACTGAGTACAGTCGTACCTGTGTTAAATTAATAGGCTAACTTTATGTATCAGGATTCAGGATTACGGGCTAATTTGATATTTTCATAAATTAACGACAACATATTATTATAGGTAACCTAGTTTAAATAAATTAAATGAAACCATCAATCGAGCTAGTAGGATTTATTTTATTATTCATCAATAATAAAACTCAGAACTTGAATATTCAACTGCAATGTCTGCTAAGTACGCTTCAAACTCGGTACTTCTTTCCCAATTCCATAAAATTCAACACTTAAAAAGTGACAAAAAACTTTAAAATAGGTAGTTGAAACAAACCACAGCTAATTTTCATAGTGGACTGTACTATACGATAAACATGTCAGTCAATTTGACAACCTTTGTCGGAAACATTATTCAATGAAAATATTGTCCGAACCCTTAGTATTTCTCTTCGACAAATAATTTAACACATTGTGAACCACTTTTCTTTCACGACTATAAAAAGATTTTAGCAATTTAATTCACAAAATCAATTGCGCACATTTAAAATAAAGTTTGTTTACACTTTGACAGCAATAGACTGACATGCAAGGTGACATGTTAATGAAGTTTTCAGTTACTGTTGCCATTAAAAGAAATTAGTACCATTAGTTTTCCGCAACATGGCGAGGGTTTTTATGTTCCTGGTCAGGCTATACAAGTAAATATTTTGGAAGTGAAAAATTTTGCATTAAATAAGTCTAGTCTTGCCAAAATAACAAAATGCTTCGATTTACTTTGATTTCATTTCACATGTATTTAATTTTAGATTCAAAGGCATCCGTGAGGGTGGTGTGTCGGAGAATGCAGCGTATTACGTGTTCACCCACGCCGCTGATGGTGCTATCGATGCATATCCGCTGCAGGAATGGTAAATAATTCTGAGTCTCTATGTAAATACAGCTTTGTGTATTATCATCATTGCATACTATATTTTGTAAACAATATACTATATGAGTATTTCTCAAAAAAAATGTACGTAACGAAATAGTAGTAACGAAATAGTAAGGCCATAAGGCTTGTTATACATTGGCGAAATATTGTGAATGCTCTTCATTTATTCAATTCGAAATATTTGTAAGTATGCACCCAAATACGGGGTAATATTAAGGGGTTAGAAATAAAATAAGGGAGTAATCATTCATACTATTTTAATAAAATTATTTTTGTTCCATCATGTTTATCCATTTTAAGTCGTTCTCTGTAAGCTTTTTGCCTTTCGGCATTGGTTTTTGGTGGCATTCCTAAAAAAACAAAAGAAGTAATCACATAAAAACGTAATCTAAATGATTTGATAATTTTTTGCTGGTGGCACTTCTGTAAAGCAGATAGTATCCAATCCTTTTGTTATTAACGCTCTATATTTTTTGAAATAAATTAAGTAGTGAATATTACTATGCTTAGTCAGGTAATAACAGTATACACTCAGCATTATGTTGTACTTTTTCGTAACGTAACGAAATTCGTAAAAAACGTAACGAAATATTAGACAAAATGAGATCAGAAACAAGTATTTTTTTGATAAAATTTGTTACAGCAAATATAAAAGCTTACTAAATGTTCGTACCACACGTATTACAAAAAATGGTTAAATGAAGACTTACCGTTCTATATAAAATCGCTGATTTTACTGCCTGTTACGAAAAAGTAATCCCACAAAACACACACGTTTTCACTAATTTTCGCGATAGATGTTATGGCGGAGACGTCAGGCCAACAGCCATTCAGAGTGCAGCTATTGTTGTCCGTGTAAAATAAATACGGAATTGTTCAGAAACCATGGGAAAGTAGAAATAAATCGTAACTAAAGAGTAAATAACGAAATAGTAAATGAGAGCGACTCATTTTGTTTTTTTGCTTTAAATTGCCAATTCATTATGACACCCCATAGAAAATCAATTTGATACAGAAACTGCGATTACTGTAGAACGATAATACAAAGAAATTTACAATAATTTAGTAACGTATCGCATTTTATGAAACAAAAACACATGAAAAAGCTAGGGTGGCAAACAGATTTTTGTATGAAAGGTAAAAAAGGACTATTTTTAAAATATCTAAATATTTGGTAATAAGTAGGATTATAGCTATAATTCTTCGTTATCTTAAAGATTAATATTCATCCTTCAAAATTGTGTGTGTGTTTTTTTTGTGTGATGATTTATAAATATAAAACTTTGAACTGTTTCAAAGCACACATTTTTTTTTCAAAATGTACATTTTTTTTGAGAAATACTCATATGTATTCCCTTATGCTTAAGCCTTATTTTACTGAATAGAGTCTTTAGGTTTAATATTTATTTATTAAAAACATGTTAAAATTGTTTACAGGTACAACTTCCAGCCTATCCAACGGTACAAGGCTTTGTCTGCTGAAGAGGCAGAGCAAGAATTCGGAAGGTAATATCATACTTATAATCAATTGACACAAACACAAAGAAATGGCATATCATTATCATCATCATGCCTCTCCCAATGATTTCCTTACTCTGTGTAATTGTTATGAGCTTGTGGACACGCCGACGAGCTAAATCGCATCTTATGTAGCTATAATACGTACTATTTTGCTACAAAAATCGATCGTCTGTCTACTTGTCGCAAACGCAACAAGGTCTACTTCTCACTAATGTACCGCAATATGGCATCTTATGCATCTTATAATACGTGCTATTTTGCATTGACATCTGGCAGACGCAACAAGGTGCTGAACTACTCGCTGATGTTCCGCAGTATGGCATCTTATTGTTGTTTTAATAGTTGCAGTTTTACAATAAAGACGCAACAAGATCTAATTCTCACTAATGTTCCGCAATATTGCATCTTATGCATCTGTAATACGTGCTATTTTGCATCGACAACTGGTAGACGCAACAAGGTGCTGAACTACTTCTCGCTGATGTTCCGCAGTATGGCATCTTATTGTTGTTATAATAGTTGCAGTTTTACAATAAAGACGCAACAAGGTCTACTTCTCACTAATGTTCAGCAATATTTCATCTTATGCATCTTATAATACGTGCTATTTTGCATTGACATCTGGCAGACGCAACAAGGTGCTGAACTACTCGCTGATGTTCCGCAGTATGGCATCTTATTGTTGTTATAATAGTTGCAGTTTTACAATAAAGACGCAACAAGGTCTACTTCACACTAATGTTCCGCAATATTGCATCTTATGCATCTTATAATACGTGGTATTTTGCATCGACAACTCGCAGACGCAACAAGGTGCTGAACTACTTCTCGCTGATGTTCTGCAATATGGCATCTTATTGTTGTTATAATAGTTGCAGTTTTACAATAAAGACGCAACAAGGTCTACGTCTCACTAATGTTCCGCAATATTGCATCTTATGCATCTTATAATACGTGGTATTTTGCATCCACGTCTGGCAGACGCAACAAGGTGCTGAACTACTTCTCGCTGATGTTCCGCAAACGCATGCGCGGCGAAGAGGGCGCCGACGACCCCGACGAGCCCGACGAGAAGAAGCCCAAAGGCGCCAAGGCCAAGAAAGGTACATTATAATAATAAGCCTTTTATTTCCGAAAATATGTACATTTTACATTTAACACTTTCTTAATTTAGGATTAACACTAATACAAATACTTCACTTAAAAAACTTTCACAAAATGTCTAAAATTTCGGTGTGCCTATTGGCAAAGAAAGGTACATTGCTTTCGTTTTATTTTGTTTTGACATTTTTTGTTTTACATCATTTTAAAGATTTTGTTTTTTTTTGTTTTTGACAGATTTTTTTAAATGCATGACATAATATTTTTGTTATCTCTTGTATTCGTATTTCGTCAATGTTCAAAGGAATTACTCTGGTCTTTGTCATGTAGTAGTGATGAAAAACCCATGCAAAAATCTATGTCAACGCGTGTTTGTAGCGATACAGACGCGATACACTCAATAGTTGGACCCAATCACCTCGGTCGAAGCGCGTTTAAAAAACGCATGATTACATTCAACAACAATTCAAAAACAATTCACGCATGATACAAAAAAGTTACATTCTTTATGAACACTGTTTTAAAGAGACTTGACATTTCCATACTAAACGTCAGTGTTTTAAACACTGTTCAAGGAGCGTTTAATTTTTATTAGCAAGGGAGTTATTATTTATGTCACCAGAGGACGTTTTATATTTCACTCAAGAGACAATAAATTCTTTAAACACAATCAATTGCAGACTTGAAAATATCGGAAATGGACGAGTGGATCGATTCGGACGACGAGTCCTCGGATTCGGAGGCCGGTGAGAAGGACAACGATAGCGACTCGGGCGCTAAGAAGAAAAAGGACAAGAAGAAAGGTTGGTCAACTGTTCTTTGGAATCATTAACCCTTAGGCTGGTTTTAGTGTCACACGGACTGTCAGTGTGGATCGCTCCGCACAGCCGATCTGTATGAACTGCTAGGGAGCGAGCGGTTCCTCCGGACCGCATTACTCTAAAACGCTCCCTAGAAGTTCATACAGATTGGCCGTGCGGAGCGGGTCCGCACCGGACGGTCCGCGTGACACTAAAACCAGCCTTAACTAAGCTCTGGTGGTCATAGAGCCCACATCAATTTGATCTTTATGTGAAGATACGTTTGAGAACCAATTGTTATTTTTTAGCCTGGATAGTGGTTAATTGCTTTGTACTAAATAGAGATGTGGTGTTAAACCTTTATACGGCAGTGGGAATATAGTTCCTACCATATTTTAAACTTAATTCTAATTTGCATACAAAATAAAATTTATAAAATCAGATTTGTATGAAAATTTAAAAAGAATGATGATATCAATTTTCTGACTTCACCATACCATTTATTATATGCACATGTTAACATGGGCTAGTGTCGGCTTATAAACCCATTAACCTAATACCCTGTAGATCGTTTCATCCACGAAGACACGCCCCACCATTTTTCCGCTAATGTTTGAGTGTTATCGGTACACGCACACTACAGTAATGACGCTCGGATCAAACTCACCTTGACCACGGTAATAATATCATACAGTATTGTAACTTCATATAAACAGACGAAACGAGAAATTTCGAAATTCAAATCTCGGTATGCGCTCGGTATGCAAAAGTCGGGGGTGTCGCGAATGTGCCGAATGGACGTCGGTGGCCAAGTGTTAAATGACAAAACTGATTGAATTTGACTGACCGTCATTTACGGTCAAATTGGTCAAAAACTAGTCAAATTGTCATTTTCAGTCAGTTTGATTTGAAATGAAAATTATATTGTATTAAACCAGCTTTTGCCCACGACTTCGCCCGCCCCAAATTAAAGTAACAGATCATTATGATTATAAAGTTTCAAAATTATTTAAGTAATTTTTACTAAATTAAATCTACTAATCACAAAACGACACACATTTTTAACCTATTCCATTCACAAAGTATTTTGTTTGTCTAACTAAATAAAAAAATACAATCACAAAACTAGATAGAAATTCTAAGTAGGCAGATGTAATTAAACTGGGTAATGTAGGTGGGCAGCCCTATCGCATGTTGTCATACTGTGACGTACCGCGCGACTGTTGACATTTATTTCAAAAATATGGCCGAGTTGGAATACTGTATAGATAGTACATATTACCGTGCCTTGACCAAAACTCGGTGGGGCGCGTCTTCATGGATGAAACGATCTATAAAATACTTTTTCTTCCTAGCCAACAGAAGATATAAAAATTGTGAGTTATAATTTCAAAATCAATTCTTTTTTTTAATAGGTAAACAAGTAGTAAAAATTAGTAGTAGTAGTAGTGTCACGAGTATTTTTAACGCGCTGTTTTTATACCGAAAAGCTGCCAGTAACTTTAATTTATGCGGCTTTAGGCGGTTATCACACTGCGCCGCGCTCCGCCGCGGTACGCGGGACGACAGATTTAATCATTGTATGCAAGTACCTCAGTTTGTATAGAAAACACGCGCGGCACAACACACTGACAACGCGTCCGCGCGCGGGATTTTTATATGAAACTAGCTGACCCGGCGAACTTTGTTCCGCCTTAATGGCAATAAATAAGCAGACTTTTTTTTTAAATTTCGAACGGGATAAAAAGTATCCTATGTCCTTCTCCTGGCTCTCTCCCTGACAATTTTCAGCTAAATCGGTTCAGCCGTTCTTGAGTTATAAGTGGAGTAACTAACACGACTTTCTTTTATATATATAGATCACGCGCTCCGCGGCGGAGCGCGGCGCAGTGTGATAACCGCCTTATGGCCAGGGAGAGGGAAAGTTCAAAATGTTCATCAGCATCATCATCATCATCATGATCATTTCAGCCATAGGACGTCCACTACTGAACATCGGCCTCCCCCAATGATTTCCATGTTGATAGATTGGTAACGGCCAGCGTCCAGCGCCTTCATGTTCAAAATACCTCTTTGAAATGTTGCTAATACGAAATTAATAGACGACCCTCTAAGGTGTAAATTGTTGCCCCATGGCCATTAGCATTTGCCCGCCTCTTCACCTGCGTGTGTCAACTTTTTCAGTCATAAAAACTTTATCGCGCGGGTCTCTGTTTCAATAACCGGGATAAAAACTATTAACCAAGGCGCAGACCATCGATTTTTCGTCGGCCGATAGTTTAGTCGGGCAGTTGATCAGTATGGGCATGTATGCAAGTGCGCACATTACACCGATTGGATTTGGCCGATTCTTCATACAACTATTGGTCCAACTATCGGCCAACTAAAAATCGGTGGTCTGCGCCTAGTCTTATAGTTGTCGCAATTCACGAAGGCGAGTGAGCTTTACATGTGGCTCTCTATTGTTCGTTCTTCAAAAGTTTTGATAGACATTACACTTCGTTATGTGCATGTACACGTACACACAAGTAAAGCTCACTCGCCTTCGTGAGTTGCAAGAACTATAGTCTGGTCTGTGAGCACGTAGAATTTTGTCCAATGACCCCAAGCTACCCATCCTTATCGCTCGCGCGTAATTATGTTGCTGTCGCGTTCGCACACTCACTGCGGGCGCCCGTAATTACGCGCGAGCGATAAGGATGGGTAGCTTGGGGTCATTGGACAAAATTCTACGTGCTCACAGACCGGGCTTTAGGTATAATAAAGTTTTCCTCCAATCTCGTATGTAGCAGCGGCCTTGAAGAAGAAAAAGAAGAAAGTCAACGACGAAGCCTTCGAGGAGAGCGACGACGGCGACGAGGAGGGCCGGGAGAAGGATTATATCTCGGACTCGTCCGACAGGTGACTTTATTTCCTTGTGATACGGTTGATTTTGACTTGACACGAAATAAATAATAGTTTGTTGTCAGCTGACTTTATACCCTTGTATACAGGGTGTTAGGTAAATGGCTATATGAGCCGACACTAGCCCATGTTAACATGGGCACATAAATGGTATGGTGAAGTCAGAAAATTGATGTCTTCATTTTAATTATTTTAATTTTCATACAAATCGGATTTTATAAAATTAATTTTGTATGAAAATTTAAAAAATTAAAATAATGATATCAAATTTCTGACTTCACCATACCATTTATATGCTTATGTTAACATGGACTAGTGTCGGCTCATATACCCATTTACCTAACACCCTGTAGATGACCTACACTGAACTGTCCCATCAAACTCTATGACAGGGGGGCGCCATCGTTGAACTATTATAGTTTCCACTATGGCAAAAATCGGAACTAGCGATCCTGTATTGACGGTGGCGCCCCCCTGTCAATGTCACGGGTGGGACAGTTCAGTGTATTGGGTCTATAATACGGTTGCTTTTGTCTTGATATGACAGTTTAAATAATAATTTGTTGTCAGGTGACTTTATACATTTGTATGCTTTGTATAAGAATACCATGAAAATAATATTAAAAATGTCAATCTACTATTAAATAGCAGGTTTTCGTTGGTTTGGGACTTTCTGTGACGATAAGTTAAAAAACTATTGTCGTTAACGTTATATTTTGTTTCAGTGAATCTGACCACGAGACTAAAGCGAACAAAGAGTTGAAGGGAGTGGCAGAGGAAGATGCTCTGAGGTTTGTACTCTGTAAAAAAACATTTCAAATTCAGATATTAATCCTACCTGCACTTTGACTTCTTATCTAGTAACCCATCAATGTCCGTATCAGTATCGCCGATTATTTTACCTGCATATCTTTGCAATATCTTTCTGCATAAGGTCTTAAACAATCTATAGTATCAAATACTATTGTTACATTCCTATTTATAACCTATAGCATGTTGATTACATTGTAAAATTTCATCAAATTCTCCTCAGTAGATTTTGCGTAAAGGAGTCTTAGATTGGTTGTATATTCATCCATTAATCATATCACAAAACGTTCGCGTTTTAATACATATGGTTAATTTTAGCAATCTATTAAGAGACTGCAGCGTCAGCGAAAACCCACAAATTACGAGCCGAGTAAGAATGGTGGCGCGACGAACTAAACAGCATACAAACTGTTTTACAGAGTAGACACTCAACACAGAGGAAAACTTATATCTTCTAAGCAAAAAGTGCATTTATAAATATGTAGAGTAGTTACTGGTTAGGCAGGCATTATAATTATGTACCTAATATTTTTATAATGTATAAAAGTTTCGTGAAATGTTTCCTAGCTAGACGTTCAATTCTCAATAAGTAGACTATTAAGGCAAAGTCACAGTATAACATAATATTAGTATTAAGGTAACTGTCTTATCTTTATAATCGGTAATTCAGTATTATTGCGTACTTGAATGAATTCAGTTTATTACAGTACTATTACACTGAATAAACTTTTTCTTTCATTTTTTCCATGTGATCAATTAACTCAATATTGATTTCCACATCGCTTATTTTCATACCACATCTCTGGTCGAAACACCCAAGCCGATTCACAGCTTCGCTATGTTAAACGCCCTTGGTCAAAACCGACTGGAAAAATCAGTCAAAGATGATATTGACCAAGAGCGTCAGTCAAAACCACTTTTGACTGATTTTTGCAGTCAATAGAGGTTTTGACCGATTATGAGTTTTGATTGTAACAGCTATACATCCTAGCTCCACTCATCTTCGTAACATGTCTTTGCACTAACGTCGCTCTTTACAGCCAGTCCAAATTCTTCATTTGCGGCTTTTTTACTTTGGCTAATTCTCAGACACCATACAGATGTTCTGATATGCAAGGTTTCACAAGAGCAGTTGTGATTTGCTCTAGGACAGTGAATCCTATACCTAGAGACATAAAGCTGCCACGATTTGTGATTGACAGTGAGTTCTTTGCTACTGTGAGATTTTTATCACTTTGAATTACATACCTATTTGGCATACAAGTAAAAGTGGGAATGAAAACCATTTTTATGTTCTCCAAAATTTTTTAGATTTCTGAAACGCAACCAAATGGAAAATTGTGGTGCGAAAATCCTTGGAATTGCTCAAAAATTTAATTGGATTCATACCTACTTGAAATCTACAAGTTGTACCCTGTGGAAAGAATAACAGGATTGGTATGTGTTCTTTCGGCCTTCATGTTACCTGCCTCTAAAACAATAACAAGTAACGTTTGGCACTAACAAAATAATTATCTTTTAGTTTTGACTGAATTGGAATATTTTAACCTTATGTATGAATTAAGGTAACCACGTACTATCTTGGCTACTTTGGATTTTGGTCTAATAATATATGAACCATCAGGTCTCTTTGACAAAGGCACATTATAACGATCTGGTATCGCCCGATTCCTCATACAAATTGGAAGCCGACCAAACTACCGTCGACTAATGCCCGTTTCCACCATCAATCCCTAATTTTTAAGTGATGGTAACACATAACAGGAATTTTACTTTCATAGGGGAAACTTAGGTATTGATGGTAAGGCTGATTTTAGTGTCACGCGGACTGTCAGTGCGGATCGCTCCGCACAGCCGATCTGTATGAACTGCTAGGGAGCGAGCGGTTCCTCCTGACCGCATTACTCTAAAACGCTCCCTAGAAGTTCATACAGATTGGCCGTGCGGAGCGGGTCCGCACTGGACGGTCCGCGTGGACACTAAAACCAGCCTAAAAACGGGCATAAAAGTCTGTAGTCTGCGGCGTGTCTTAAATAGAAAAGGCAGCTGCAGTACTAAGCTTTACCTTCTAGGAAGCTGCTGACCTCCGACGAGGATTCGGAAGAGGAGCAGGAACAGAAGGCCAAGGAGGAGGACGTGCAGGAAGACGAGCCCACCAAGGAGGGCGAGGAGCGCGCCAGCAAGCTCACCAAGAAGAAGAAAAAGGCTGACGACGTTAAGAAAGAGAAAGGTAGCTTAGTTTTGCAGGGTACTCGAATCGCACTAAGGCCTCAGCCTCGAGTTTAGCGGGCAGCGGGGCGGGAGCGGCGGCGGCGCGGGAGCGGCAGGATCTTATGCGTAAAATCAAATAGACCGGTTCTCGAAAACAGCGGCGCGGGAGCGGGCAACGAGCGGGCAGCGCACTCCTTCTTTTGCCCACAATAAATCGAGCGTTAGGAATAAATTTGAATCGAAATAAAATTGTCACCGTTGTTCAGACATTTCGTTTGCGAATAAAAACAAATATCTCGACAACACAACCCCGAACACAACACTTCGCCGCTAAAGCGCCGCGCGAGCTGCCCGCTTGTTTCGAGAACGGGTCTGCGTTGCCCGCCCCGCTCCCGCGCCGCCGCCGCTCCCGCGCCGCCGCCGCTCCCTCCCCGCTGCCCGCTAAACTCGAGGCTGAGGCCTTAGGCCCCTCGCCCACGGCGACTTTTTATGCAGTAGCGATTCTGTCGCGCGTTCGCATCGATATAGTCGCAATGCGGTCGCTACCTGTGTGCCCTCGCCCACATCGCAATGCAAACCTGATTTAATAACCCTCGCTCCGTTCTCTCCCCGATTTCGTCTGACATGGTCGAGTGTTTGCATCGATACAGTCGCGCTGTTATAGCGCATTAGTAGCGCGTTGGCATCGCTTCTGTAGTGCGTTGCAAATGCGACTAACGCGCGTTAGTAGCGATGCTGTCACTCGTTTACGAAACGCGCGACAGCATCACTACAAAAACTCGCCGTGGGCGAGAGCCCTTAGGTCCAGTTTCCACCAAAGCGGAGAAGTGTTATAAATGAAATAACTAATCAATTTCATTATTTCCACTTCTCGTCTCCGCTCCGCACAGCTCCACTCCGCGCCGCCGCTGCTGTCAAATTCTATGGAAAAAATCTCCGCTCCGTTTTGGTTAAAACCGGGCCTAACTGCAAAAGAAGATTTTTTTTAATTCATATTACAATCAGTCTATATTGTCTACTACTGGGTATCAAAACATGTACGTGAGCAATCGTGGATTTTTCTGTAGACCCAAAATAGAGGAACAATCTCACCAACAATTTTTTTTTGTTATATCCCATTAAAGTTGTTGATGAAAGCTCCCAGTTGGCTTTATCTTTTTTGACATGTTCAGTAAATCATCGTTAGTTTTACACAACATCTTAACGTATTATACAGTGTGTCCGGGCTTGTAGTGATCAAACTTTAAGGGCAAAATCTAGGGACAATTTTATCGATAAAAATACTTCAAATTTGGGGCCTGACCCATTTCTCGAAAAATTACATCGATGTAAGTTTTTAATTTTTAGTTTACACCTCTTCTTTAAAAAACAAGTGAAAGTGTGGGTAGCTTAACATTAATATGTAAATATTTTATATCATGCGATAGCCAATAAAATTATCTATTAGTAGAAGAAGAAAACACACACAAATTTCATACATTTTATGTACGTAGCGCACGCGACATGCGAAAATGCACTGCCTGAAAGAATCACACAACCTATTCCGATTACTATGGAAACCGCTGGGAAGGGGTATCTTTGTTCAAAAATTTGTGTCTGTTTTCTTCTTCTACTAATAGATTATTTTATTGGCTATCGCATGATATAAAATATTTGCCTATTAATGTTAAGCTACCCACGCTTTCACTTGTTTTTTAAAGAAGAGGTGTAAACTAAAAATTAAAAACTTAAATCGATGTAATTTTTCGAGAAATGGGTCAAGCCCCGAATTTGAAGTATTTTCATCGATAAAATTGTTCATAGATTACGCCTTTAAAGTTTGATCACTACATGCCCGGACACACTGTATACTTGAGACTACCACATTCACTCAGTTTATGAGTAAAATGGTAATTTGTTTCAGAATCAAGTAGCGACTTCAGTTCGGACTCGGACACAGACCCCGAGAGCAGCAATAAGAAGCCCAAAAAAGGGAAAAGCAGCTCCAACGACAAGAATGGTACGTCGGCGACAGGTAACTTCTGATCCGCTTTGCAATGGAGGGAAGTCGAACCTTAATTTTGAACTCCTCCTATGTTCTTCTGATTAATTTCGTTGCGGGTCCAATGACAGTTTAACTTTCCCCCGGGACAAACTTGACCTTCATTGGTTGGGTTTTTGTGGCGGTCAAGCTGTAGATCCTGGCTACACAGGAGTTGCAGTGGTGGGAACGAGAGGTGGGAATAGTCCCATAAAAAAAGGTAACTTCTGATACGCCTTATTACTAATGCGTAAACATATTTATTGTCTATGTATTGTAGTAATCTCTAAATCGATATGACCCGCGTGGAGAGTGTAGGCGAACATTCATTGATGAGATATACAGGGTTACTTTTCAAAAATTTCGAGAATGGTTCATTCCACAAAAATGTTTAAAATAGCTTTAATGCCAGCCTAAATAGAGTAAATAGAAATTAGCGTTACTCGAAAATTCATTAACCCTTAACGGATCATGTGCCGAGATTCCAGACAAAAATCCAAGTCTGATTCAGTGCTCACGCGTAAGAGTTTAATAAGATAGAGGGAATATAGTCCCACTTTATTTTTAACCTTATTCTCCCTTGTCTTTAGGTAGAAAAACAATGAAAAATTTGGACTTGCTTAGTGTTTTCTTCTTATTCCCTCGTTGAAAACCAATGAAAAATTTGAACTTGCTATATCAGTGTTTTCTTTTAATTTGCAGCGAGCGCTCCCAATAGCGCGAGCACGTCGCGCTCGGGCACGCCGACGCCCGCGCCAAGCGCCGCCAGCGCCGCCGTGGCCGCCGCCAACGCCGCCAACAACGCGCCGCCCTCCAAGCGGCCCAAGCTCGACCCCTCCTACATGTGAGTAGCGCGTGTAGCGCGGCAGTAGCGCGTGTAGACAGCGCCGCCGTGGCCGCCGCCAACGCCGCCAACAACGCGCCGCCCTCCAAGCGGCCCAAGCTCGACCCCTCCTACATGTGAGTAGCGCGTGTAGCGCGGCAGTAGCGCGTGTAGACAGCGCCGCCGTGGCCGCCGCCAACGCCGCCAACAACGCGCCGCCCTCCAAGCGGCCCAAGCTCGACCCCTCCTAAATGTGAGTTCGTTCGTTTGTTCGTTTGTTTGTTTCAGCCGAAAGACGTCCACTGCTGGACAAAGGCCTCCCCCAAGGATTTTCACGATGACCGGTCCTGCGCTGCTCGCATCCAGGCACCTTCCGCGACCTTCACCAGATCGTCGGTCCACCTAGTGGGAGGCCTGCCTATGCTACGTCTGCCCCAATGGCCATCAGCTCTAGGAGCTATGTGCCCCGCCCACTGCCACTTGATTTTTGCGATTCTGCTGGCTACGTCAGTTACTCTGGTTCTCCTACGGATCTCCTCATTTCTGATTCGATCACGCAGGGAAACTCCGAGCATAGCACGCTCCATCGCCCACATGTGAGTAAAGTCTCTGTATTGCTGTCGGCCGCAGTAAGTGTGCGAGCGCAACAGCAATATAATTACACGCGAGCGATAAGGATGGGTAGCTTGGGGTCATTGGTCGATATTCTACCTGCTCGGCGACCGGACTTTAGCGTATATAGACAGCGCAGCACGTCACACTCAGCACACCGAATACTTGTATAGCGCGTAATTATACACGGTGGAAACTATAAGTGATCTCACTCGAATATTTCTAAGTATACAAGATATCGAAAAACTGGTTAAGAGCGTCACAAGCTCTATCAAACGGAAACAATAAATAGGTTACAGAATAAACTGGATATACAGAATTGAGTCATAAAAAACTGCCTGTTAAGCGCCCTAAATATGCTCCCGTAACATCACTCTTACAGCCATACTAATAAAGCTCATTTTCCAGGGAATGCGGCGTGACTGAAGAGGCGGTGCGCCGTTACCTGGCCCGCAAACCAATGACGACCACAGAACTGCTGACCAAGTTCAAATCCAAGAGGACAGGGGTCAAGAGCGAGCGGCTGGTGGAAACCATGACTCAAATCTTGAAGAGGATCAATCCTGTTAAGCAGAACATCAATGGGAAGATGTATCTCAGTATAAAATAGTGATCATCACAATGTATTAAGTTAGTGTATTACTAAATAAATGAAATGTTTTTTTTTTAATTTGGTGTTTTATTCAACTCGTTATAAAGACTGGTTCGGAATGAACCACAATACTGTGAGGGACTGAAGAGTCGAGGCACATCGCCTATATACAGAACTCTCGCCTCGATCTATAATAATAATAATAATAATAAAATAATAAAATCGTTTATTGCAAGAAAAACAATTACATTTTTNAGTGAGTGAGTGAGTGTCGTAAATGTGAAACTTTGCTTTCGCTTAACTTCGGAACTAAATGACCTACAGACTTGAAATTTTGGATTTAAAGTATGTGATTATAGCTTACTAGATGACGAAAATTTCTGCGTTCTGGTCTTATCCAGAGGTTCTCAAATAGGGGCCTGAAAATGCGGCGAAATGGTTCCAGTAAAGGATGGTACGGCAGTGTTTGCTTCGCGCTCGACTTGGCGGGGGCACTGCCGTGCCCCCAGATATGCTTGTGTTACGAGTGGGCTCACCACAATAGTCAAGCGGCGATGGGATTCGAACCCGCGTTCCTCGGATCTCGAGTCGGCTAGTCCGACTCCTTCACCGTTCGGCTTTCGTGGCTTCATTCTTTTTAATTACGTTTATTGCGCATAGTGTTGTAACTGTTGTAAGTGAACTTACGTTGTATTTCTTGTCGCTAGTGGTCGGCGCCGGCAGTGGTCCCAGTCCAGAAGTGGTAGACTTCTTTTTCCGTTTTTGCCTCTCCATTTCTTCGTCTATCTCTTTATCCCTGAAAGCAAAGAATTGAAGAGATGCTAGAATTTTTATGGGATCTTTTTAATGTTTTAAAAGTGATAATCGGAAAAAGATCGAAATACACAAATTAATCTGTAAAGTTAGTATTTTTTTGTAGCTGAAATTTGTGATTAAGCTGTAGAATTTGGCACCATGGCGATGTAGTCGTTAGGCCTTATTTCCACCAAAGCGGAGCGGAGAATTGTTTTGAATCAGATTTCCTGAATGATGAAATCTGATTGGTTATTCAAAACACTTTTCCGCACCGCTCCGCCTTGAAAACCAGGTCTTAGTTCCAACTAGCACAAAGTACAAATCACGGCGTTGATTGCTTAACCTTGGAAGTGTTGAATGGTCACCCATCCAGTATTAATCCCTTACCAGTTGACCTTGGGCGTGGGCGGCGGCACCCACTCCTTGGCGATGTACTTCTTCTGCTCGTACTTGGCGCGGATGAAGGCCTCCAGCGAAGAGTCGTTCTGCGGCCGCCGGAACGAGTCGGGGAGATTGGCTTCGTACACAGCGCGCGCGCGGGAATTGCCCATTTGTTGGAGGGATACCTGTAGGGATAGTGACGTCAAAGATGGGCGTACGTAGCTTCTTAGGGTAGGGGTTCCGAATCTTTTTCTTACCCTTTGAAAAAGATGCAGTAGAAAGACGGGCGGGTAAATTACGTGGGAGGGTTTTCCAGCGCCAACGCGGCGTAAAAGATTGACTCACGGCGCCCTTCTTTACTTTCTATGGCGCACCAATAGGCCTAGGGATGCGCGCCACTTTATCGATTTTGCCCATACATTTTGACGTCGATAAAGTTTATCACGGCGCGCATCCTAGCCAGGCAGGGCGCCGCGGCGCACACTTTGGGAACCCCTATCTTAGAGGGAAGATAGCAATGATGGCCGTACGTAGTTTCTGGCCCAGGGAGAAAATAAGTTAGTAAGACTTAGGGCGATGATGCACAGCATCTGATACAACCGGTTAAATCTTTATACATACAAAATTAAATAGGGATGGTTCCTGGGTAAAATAGGGATGGTTCCTGGGTAAAAAAGCAAGAGTTTAATTAGTCCGTCAGTTAGCTTATCAAAAACTACTCGACACGTATTTTTCTCTTTTTAAAACTAATGAAAATGTAAAGAGATAAAGCGTGCCAAAGTTCTAAAGAAAAGACCCGTGACGTCAGTGAGTGCGTAAAAGTACAGCACTTTGTGACGTCGTGCGGAACTTCAACACACTATAACTTTGTAATTAGGTATTTGTTTGTTTGACAATAAAAAATATACGTGCCCAATATTTTTTTATATTAAATTTGACAGACTAAAAAGTTTTTTTTAGGAAACCAGCCTAACTCGGATTCCAATCGATTGCAGTGCATAATCGCTTTAACAAAGAAAGATGCAAATTGTATCATATCACATAGCTTAGTCTCTATGGTAAGTAATAATATAATAATNACTTCAGAAAAATTGAAAGTTACCATTTTATAAAAATAAAATATTACCAAAATAATTAACTCTAACAATTAAATATCGCTAAAATAATTAACCCTAACACTAGCAATAAGGAGCTGGGTGCATTTAATTATTTTTATTTTTTAATAGTTATGTTTTGGGTATCTCATACATAAACGGAAATAACCTAATTGAAAAGTCACTTATTATGACGGAGTGACTGTTGTTTGACTGTAGAATGATATATGATACACGTGATACATGAAAATCCTTAAAAAATAATGAATCTACATAATTTTATCTCTCTATTTATTAGTATTATCCGAACAACGCAAACTTTACACTTAGCTTTCTTAACTTAGGCAATATGTAGGATAATCCTTCGTCCCAGTTTAGTGCATTTATGTCAAGGTTAAATATTTGCAGTTAAAACCGCAAATTAACGTAGGTTTTAAACCAGCGAACTTTAGTTATTGCATTCTGCTATACGATAACCGGGTAGGTACAAGGACGTGCTCTACCAAATGTACGTAAATAGCTTTAAGTACATACTTACATTTAAACATGAAATTATTATTGATTCAGTAGTTACTAAGGTAAATTTAGTATTTATAAAATATATTTGGAGGGTTGTGACTGTTTAACGTAATAATAGTTTTTACCCAGATATTTAATCAGTCTGGATGTTTTACGTATAAAACTTATATGGGTAATAATAATAATAAAATCGTTTATTGCAAGAAAAACAATTACATTTTTCATATTAATCTTGGACTCCACACTAGGCAAGCCTGTCTCGTGGAGGCCAGGAGATAACTTTACAATATTTTGGGTACTTAAAACTATTAAAACTATTATTAGAACATAAAAACAATAAAAAAATCAATAATTGTGCTGTATGTTTTATAAGTATGGGTTATGTATGTGTCGTGTATTAAGTAATTAGTGATTGATGATAAAATATTATGAAGTGTAGGTATGTCGTAGGTTACACATTTTGTTTATTGTACTATTCTTATGAAATGCTCTGTGTTTTCGTAATTTAGTGAGGTAAGCCATGTTCCTATTTTGTGTTTAGCCTCTCTAGTAGGTTTGTCTTTTATGTTGCAGAATTTTACTATTTTATTATAAATAAATGGGCTGAGAAACGTGTTGAATCGATGGGCAAATGAAGTTTTAGTTAATGGGACTGGGATTGTAAAAAATCTTTTTTGACAGGAGTTGTTTAAATCGGAGTTTAATACAGATTTGTGGACTGAGGTAGAGGTTAGTTGTATAAAGAGTTGTCTGACGCTAAGCAGGTTACATTCTCGGTAAAGAAGATCTGTTGGAAATAGGCGGTTTTTAAATAGCATCACCTTTAGAACTGAGCGCTGAGATCTTTCTAGTTGTAGTAGTGTAGAAGTTGCTGTACCACCCCAAGCTGTGATGCAGTACGTAATAAGCGATTGGCATAGGGCGGTGTATACGGACTTGAGCAGTTCTTTATCAGCCGAGGACCTCAGTAGCCTCATAATACTTACAATCTTCCTAACCCTTGCAGATACGACGTCAATGTGCTTTTTAAAATTTAACTTTTCATCAATAATGATACCAAGATATCTAATAAATTCGGTTCTAGAAATCGTGTTGCAGTTACACGGCTTATTGATATCGGGACTACAATTTAGAAAGAGAGGACTGTTTGGGCAGTGATCGGAGTGGATTTTTATAGGCATTGTATTTGTGGGTGCAGAAGCTAGGGTTTTGTGAAAACTAATAAATTTTGTTTTAGAGGTATTAAGTGAGAGAAGATTGTTGTTGAGCCAATTGCTTAGGGTAGCTATACCAGCTTCTGCACTACGATGAACGGTCTCCCAGGATTTGTCATGGAAAACGATAGCAGTATCGTCTGCGTAACAGATTACGTCGGCATTCTTAAGGTCAAGGGAGGTGATATCGTTAATGTATAGCAGAAATAAAGTTGGACCAAGTATGCTACCTTGTGGGACTCCAAATGAGATGGGTTGGTAGCTACTGACTCGCAAATCAATTTTGACACATTGTTGTCTATCAGTTAAGTAGCTTCTAAACCAGTCTAATGCTATGCCACGTATACCAGCAAGATCTAGTTTTTTAAGTAGGATAGGAATTGAGACTGAGTCGAAGGCTTTTGCCAGATCCAGGAAAACACCTATACAAGCATTTCCTTTGTCAAGATTATCTACGATAGTGTTAGTCAAGAGGTTTACCGCTTGTTCAGTTGACCTTTGTCGACGAAAACCGTATTGCCGGTCACTTAAGAGTCCATTATCTTCGAGAAATTTTGCAAGTTTTGAATGCAAGATATGAAAAAGTAGGCAAAAATCTTAATTGGATAGATAGTTATTAATTTATCCAGTTTTGATTTGATATTTTTTCAGACGAAGACATATTTTCGGCACCTAATTTCAAGAACTATTTTTATTAGACGAGCCACGGGCCAAGCTCAAGGTGAGTCCCGAATAGCCTCACTACAGTTTATTGCAGGCGGGGCCTGTGCACTCCGCAGCAAATGTTTTATTTATTGCAGCGTACGTGTTAGTAGTTCGTCTACCGTACAGTACAGCCAGCTATCTTATTTTCTATACTCTATTTCCATTCTATTCTATTCCTATTTCCTAGGTAAATTTTCTTATTTTTATTCGTATTCTTAAAGTAATGGTCCAAATAAATATTATTTATGAAGAAAGAAAAAATATTATTTTATTGAGATTGAATTACGTCAATTCAATGTGTATTTGCTTCTATTTTTAACCCACCAAATAAATAAAAACTTCGATAAATAAATCAAATTAGGTATTTCTCAACTTTTCGATAAAAATTTTGTTTAACAAAATTCAACTGTTTGTTTTCATTTACTGCAAGCTTATAAAGTTGTACGTTTTATATTGAATGCAATGAATTTCACGATTACACGTTCATTTTGTAGGTATTTTCCGTGCCATTGTAATGAATTTGTTAATTGTTAAGGACTCCGCTTACAAATGGGTTGCAATACAAATTCAAGTTTCAAAGTTTCTTGTTCGTTTCATCTTGGCTATAACTCAGCATGGGAGATGATTTATTTTACATTCGTCTGTTTAGATTACCGCGGCGCGCGGCGGGCAGATGCCGCGAAAACATTAGACGCTAGTCTTATAGCCACATCCTCTCTAATGCCGGCAGTTATGTAATTTAAATCTATGCTAACTATTCGCCTGACTAATAAATTACATACCCGTATATCACTGGGTTATTTAAGTCTTCAGGAGCTGTCTTAACCTCCTGTGTGAAGACTAAGAGTGGCTTTTAAAGACGCTATAAATCTGCAGTATTCGCTGGGTAACATTGTTTTTTTTAATAGCACTTTCAGATCTATGGTGATTGAATTCTATTCCCCAAGGAAGTTCATCGTTCAAACTACAAGCTACTCGTAAATTATAATCTTTTTAATAAAGATTAGTTAACTTGGTTCTCACAGTTTGAGCCCAGTCAATGAACTATCGATTGCAATCAAGTGGGTAGTCTTCAGCTCGTTGTCACGTCTGCCGCCGACTGCGGCCGCGGGCGCGGCTATCTCGGCTGCGGTCTGCGGTCGCGGGATATATTTAGCCAGCGCTGCTCAAGGATAACATAGGTTTTCCTTGAGATGAGCTGAGATGAGCTGCTGTCGGTACGCTTTATTACACATAAATAGCATGTGTTATGCAATTATATCTTACCACATTATGTATGTACAAGGATAAAATGTAGAGTTAAGACAATGTTGTAATGTTTTAATTATAATCAAAAAATTACACGTATAGAGACGGCTTATTCCCAAAGGTCCACGACACAACAGAATAGAATGCTATTGGATCAAATATCAGTGTAGGTAGTTTTATTTTAATTTTAGGCTGACCTATAAGTAATTAGTTACTAACAGTAAAATATAATTAAAATTTATTAAAATTTAATTATAAATTCCCAGTCTATAAATAAGTTAACACGAATTGATAAGTTGCACAATAGATAAGTCGGCATTGTAATCGCGTTGGTTGAAATCAATCTGTGCGATATTGTAAATTTATAGCCCCAACCAACCTACTATTGTGGCATGCCATTGACCT